TGCCAGCATATGTCTCAGGGCGACGGGCACAGTGGCAGTGCCCCTCAGGCGCTCCAACTGTTATGGACAGGCGTGTCGCTTCCCATCAGGCGCACGACTTGTTCGTTCCGTTACTTGGTATCATAAAAAAAATCAGTCGTCGTTGTAACAAAATACGTACTGGTAATCTAATAATTTTATTGCGATTGTTTTATATTACTATATTCATTGTTCTGGCCAATGTAATATCCCTAAGATTTATTGGCAATTTGGTACAACCTGTATACAAGTATGACGTCATGAGATTAATTTTAAAAGTCTTCAGTAAGCCTCATGTTTTCACACATTGAGACAGGATAGATATTTTCATAGACATTCAACAAAAACAAACACATATCAGTTAACACTTTCGGTACTCGCACATTGCTTAAATTTCTGTAGAGGGTTTTTGACCCTGAACGAAATAACAATAATGTGCTAATAATAATAATAATAATAATAATAAGATTTGTTTATCCAGACAACTGAGATCCAATCAAATGTTAGTAGGTACAGACTTAAAACTAATATTTTGTTACCAGGGACTTTGTATTATTTATTAAGTGCCGTATAATTGGGCACGCATTCCTGTCAGCAACTGTCTTCAGGAGGCTATTGGGGCTGTCACGTATTCCCTTCAGTAGCGACGCCGACTTTTTACGTACAACAGCCGTGAAACTATCTACGCGCGCATATATATGACAATACACCAGTTACCATTCCTTGTGCTATGAGTACCAGAGCAACAGATTTACTCCGGGACACTATTACACTACACTTCATGTCCCAAATAAATCCTATCGGTTATCGAATCCAGGGCCTCCTCATCCAGCAGCCACAACGCAAACCGTAACGGTGCCTACAGATTTGCTCGATTTTTTGACTACGTATTTTTTATCACTGTGAAATGACTGTGAAATTTAAATTTGGCTGTCTAAAAATTTGCTCAGTTTTAACCAAGGGTATTATGGTTAGATATCAATCGCTTAACAGCTAAATGTAATGAAAAAAAAAAAAATTATTCTTTTTTTATCTTGCCAAAGTGGGCGGTGTGCCAAAAAATTTGGGATCCTATGAGTTATAGCAAGCAAATTGTTCATAATATCTTGGCATTCACTTTTGAATTTTTTTTATTTTATATAAAATGAACACGCGCAAGAGAGTGGCACCCTTACCCTTCAAAACACACACTCACATTATTGCTTGGGGCAGAAATAAGTAAGGTTGCAGTACTTCCCTGGACGAACTTTTTCACCAGAACCTCTACTGCTACTAAAAGTAGTTTATTTAGAACCAACATCGCGGTTAACGCCTTTTTTACACGTTTGTTCAATTAACCGATGAATCAATGAACAATAAATTAACTAGTTCATGATCAAAATTACCGATTTTTCATACCGATTTCATGAGACCATTTCAACCACAATAGAACCCAACCCTTGCCTGGACTTTTCAAATCAAAATGTTTCTTCTAACAGCCAAGCCGCTAGATAGTACGACTTAAATACGAGTTTGTCTGTCACCTAGATACTTTTACATATCTGAGCTGAGCGATGACTGTTTAGGTCTAGACGCAAAGGCGTGACGTAGAACAATGCCATACTAGGTACTGAATGTGTAACACTTCCTCAAAAGACAGCACTTATCGTTATTCATAACTATCGGCCGTTTGTGTTGACTCGTTACATAAAAAGTACAAAGAAACTTGTCCATTGTGTCGATCTACCAGAAAAGGTACCTTATGGGCAATTAATTCTTGCATTTATAATTGTGTATCAAAAGTATACTGTAAAATAATAATAATAAAGGACACGCTCAACATAGCCCCGCACTAGGGAAACCCTGTGTCGCGGGTGCAATGGACACACATAGACAACCACAAATGCATGATGACCGTTCGGCCACAGAGGCAGTTAAAAATGCATATAACTATAAGTTGTCAACTGTAACTGCCGTATAGATTTTTATTGAATATCATTTAGTAGCAGTAGAGCGCGTTGTGAAAGAGTCCAGGGAAGTACTGCCACCTTACCTATTTCTGCCGCGAAGCAGTAATGTGAGCTTTACTGCGTTCCGGTTTAGATGGGTAAGGGTGCTGGTGAAGTTACAGGCACATGTTACTTGTCAACTTATGTCTCAGGGTGACGGGCGCAGTGGCAGTGCCCCTAAGATGTTTGAGATTTAAAGTTCTGAGTGGCACTGCAACTGTTATGGAAAGGCATGTCGCTTACCACCAGGTGCACGACTTGCTCATCCCGCTTGGTATCATAAAAAAACTGAAAAACAATGCAATTAAAATTTTTCCTAAAACCATTTTTATAATACTTACTCAGTGAGATGCGACTAATCTGTACCAGCCTTAACAAAAGTCAATAGGAACTATTTGAAACATTGGTGTACATACTTACTCTAATACAGCAAATTAGATGAACGTGGTTCACCATAGAACTACAGCAGCCAACACGCGTTTAAATCAGTAACACGTTGCGTCATCGCTCTTTATATCACGATGATTTTACTTCCCTTCCAATAAGCGCTGTTTTAAATGCTCACGGTGTATTTATGCATTTTGCCTCTTTTCTGATTTTCCTCTTGATCGGGTAACGTAGCAACAATAACTATTCTGTTGTTATTTTCCTATGCCTATGCCCATTAAATTAACTTTATTTATTTTATATATTTATAATTAAAGCATTGGGTGTAACAAGGGCGTATCACGTAAAAGTGAGATTCGAGAAAACTTAGAATAAAATTTAATATCTTATATCTTTTTAATATTTATAATATGACTCTTATATACTTTATTACTTATTTTTCCTAATGACTTAGCTAAAAGATTCAGGTGTTATATTATTTGAAAAATTTTTTTTTCCTTGGGTTATCCGCCCTTGTTGCACCAAGCCGGTAAAGTCTTGGGGCGTTCGATTTATTATTGGTGCATATGCGTATAGTGTGAATATGCGTATTTATTGAAATTTGAATACATAGACGACAAATTATTATTTCCTGTTAAGAATTTGCTACAAATCATTGTCTCAAACAATAATATTGAAGTTGTATTTCTACAAGTACTTACATATTTAAATACTTTAGCCATTTAAAACATAAACATGAGGCAACCTATATTTTGGAATGTTTAGAAAATAAACGGTAAAAAATGAAATATTATACGCATAGATGACGAAATGGGTACGTCCATACTAAGAAAACGTTCATACTCAAGGTAATTTAAGTCCCTCAATTCCGATCACTGATAATGTGAAAGTAAAAGACTATTTCCAGTTTTACAAACTATATTGTAATACTGTGCTATTTCTTTACACAAATTCTGGTGGACATATGGGGTTGATTTTGGCCTTCATATGGGGGACTATGAATGTATTTTAAAATATTATTTAATAAGTCAAGTCGTGAATCAACAAATCCAAAATTAATGAAAGAGTTAAGGCAAGTCTACCGTTATAAATAAGAATACCACAACATTCTACACTCCACTTTACTTGATTACTCTTTTCCCATGTCGGTGTTACTAATAGCAGTAAATGTTATAATAATAATATAATTGTATATGTAAAAGGCAGGTTACCTATTAATAGTCCGAAATGACATTTTCCAGAAATAACGTTTGCTCGAATTTTCATAACCTCGAAAGTAATTTTGAGAGGAAAATAGTTTTTCTTTTAAACCTAACCTAACCTAACCAAACCTAATCGTGTATTTGAAATAAACATCCAACATAGCCTGAAAGAACAACGGTTTCGTTATAATTCGGTTTTCGGTGTAAAGGAATTTCGAACAAACGCCACTTCGGAAAAAAATATTCGAGTTTGTGATAGGTTACCGAAAAGCATGGCACGTCGCGACGGTTCGTTGCTATCTGTTGAGGCCACTCGAGTCATCGCTACTGCCAAGGTTGCTCGGTCCACGACCGGAACCACCAACTCAAAAAACTATATTTCGATTTCGTTGCAATCAAAGTGTTTATCTTTGTTGACTGGAGGTTTTTACAGAACTCGCACTGGAAAGGTCGGATGCGCTATGGCCACGAGTCAAAACGGGTCCAGCAAGGTCGAAGCTATCGACCCAGCCCTTGAAACAATAACTTGATCTGACGCAATCTATGTACCTAATGGCAAAGGGCCCATGTAATACGATTTCAATCGGTGTGACTAACACATTTATTCTTCAAATTAGTAGAATGTATTGAATGGAGTGCATTGAATGTCTTGCACTCCTTTTTTAAATATCCCTTCGGCACAGCTGTATGAGAATTTTGCATCAATAAATACATAAAATATTAGTCCATTTCTTTCTATATTTTTTTGATAATAAGTAAATAGACACTGCGTACATCGTTGTAAAGTAACACCTAAATGACTACGTGGTGTTAAAAGATTAAAATAAAATGTCACAATGAATATGGTCAAAATCGAGATATTTTGTATGTATTCTTACAATACATGCACAATGTTGTATGTTGCACATAAATACTTACTCAATAGTACACCTCAATCTGTTAGCAACAGAGGTTCGATGGTGAGGAATAATAAGTAACTTATATTGACTTCGATTGAAAAAGGTTCATTATTACGAAATTATTTAAAAATGAGAGAATTATCAATCACGAAGGCTGTGGAAACATTGTGTTGGAAAGGCGATTGGCAGATTTGCGAGCGAGCCGGGTGAACGATCGCTATAGGAACCGGTCGGAGGGGCGCAGGGAGGCGGGGGCAACGGGCAGCGGGCAAAAGGGATCCTCCAGGGAATGTGCCTCCGACAGTCGCCCTCCTCTATCACTGCACAGATATTTCCGGCTCACTTAAAACAAATAGTTTAAAATTAAAAGATTGCTCATGACGGATGTCCTTTATCATAATCGGACTGTTGGTGAATTTTTATCAGTCGAAACTTGCCAAATTAACATAGGAATTTTTAAACATAAATATTAGTAATTGATTACAATCATGTATTGTTTGTTGCAGGGAACAATGGAAAGGAGAAAGAAACTGCACGAAGCAAGGAAGCCACTTCTCCGGCAGCCCGCTCCGCCAACGGTCAGTATTACTATCACGCACGACCAGCCGCTCATTTATCTCCTCCAGCTTCCTGTTCCATCGCAACATTGATAACCACGTGGTAGGATCTGAATGGTTGAATAATCGTATTTGTCACCGGAACCCCAACTCTGGGAAGAGAGGGGCGGCGGCGGCGCGCACGTGTTGCGTGGCGTCCCCGAGGGCAGCTGCCTTTACGGCGCAGGCGCCACTACCACCCTTGTGCTCTCCCCTCCGTGCTCCCCTCTCTGCAGGGGCGCCAACAACTCCCTACGCCCTACCCTACTCTATCTTTTGCGGAAATTGGAATTCTCCTATTTGATCGCCTGCTATGATTTCAATAACTCAACTCTACTTATGATCTAAAAACGAATTATCGGTAGAATTGATGAGCTCTATACACACGGTACCTAAAGGCGCAAAATGTTTATATCCGATCGTTGACAAGGTTTGATTAACCAAGCATTGTGCTAATAATGATAATACATGCTTTATATGATATTATTTCGAAGACAATGAAGTGACATAGTTTATATTACATAGACGTAGAGCTAGCGTTGCATGGTGGATCTGACTCTTGCTAAAGATACGTCTGTTCTACATAGCACAGAAAACTCTTTCTAAACATGTGCCCTGACGGGGGTCTTCACGATCCAAGGGACACGTAGTGCAAAAAACGTGTTTCGAATTCATTACACGATTGTTTAGCTGTGGAACATAAGCAATTTAAATTAGGCCATAGAGAATTTCATTGTTTTCATTGTTGGAAATTCTATGCCAGTTTTTTTACAGCCTTTGTAATACAGTGCCATGAGCGCCATTTGGTTAAAAACTGCCAAATACATTACAGTTATCATAAAGAATATAACTTCTCTGATATCAATGGATGTAGAGTGAAATACGATGTTTCCGCCTCATTAAATGAGTGGACATCAAAGCAACAACGCGGATATGAAAGGATAACATTATCTATAAATTTCACTATACAAACACCCTACATAATTACCATAAGAACACTTGAATCAGCTGTTAGTGACGTCATGACCACTTTATATCGGGAGCGGGATCTTTGGTAGCCTGTCTTCATTTTCATTAAATTGACTGAACTTGAGTGAGCAAAAGTATTTGAGTATTCCCAAATTGATGTTCTGATTCCCGTTCATTGTCAGTGCTCGCGATAACATTGTTTTAAAATAACTTCCCTGCATTCATATTACTACTCTGCTTTTTGCTTTGATATAACAAAGAACATTCTTGTTTAATATTCTTATTAATTACACAGGGTGTAACATAACGTCTCTACAAATTCGAAATGGTGCTACTTACTTTACTTACTTGCGTACTTTACCAAAAAATTATATAATCAAAATTTGCTTCCCCGAGCGATGGCCGCGTCTCTTTCATATGGGAAAACAAAATAAATTTTGCGAAAATAACATTTATATTCACTCTTACCATAATATACATGCACGTTTTCCAAAGCAAGTAATGAAATACGTATTATATATCTTAATATAACGTCTGCCACCTACGCCTACAATAAACTAATAGTTTTTTATTTATATAGCCATTCGCGATGTGGATTGAGTGGTTTTAGTGGTCGTTTGTAATATTTTATTTCCTTAAACAGCAGAGTCAAAACCAGAAACATTTTAAATCCACATCAATAATGTCAAATCATCGGTGAAAACGGTTGACCTCAACCCCGTTACTTTCCTATTGCCTTTGAACTGTGACCGAATTTATTTCAACAAACGCTTCAATTAGAAATCGATTATATAATGGAAACTTGAATCTTACTATATTTAGCAATGATAGACGGATAGATAAACTTTTTATTCACTAATATGAATCAAATAGAGATTAAACACAAAATTTATAACATAACATTATTGTCATAGCAGTGAAAGGGCGTTAACTCAGCATATGCCAAAGTTTCTCATGGCGCTGGTTTTCATCATCATCATCAGTCAGGGATAAAATTATTTCTAAGCAAAAATATAACGACTATGCCTAAAGTTATGCTTTACAATAACACATAATAAAGTGTAAATAGTACATATAAAATAATTTGTTAGATATTTTTATAATTGTGGTTGCAAATAGGTTTTAGTTTAGTATAATGTGTGTAGTATATATAACATGAATAGATCAGTAAAAATTAAATTCTATTCTAGAAAGACCACAGAAAAGAATACACACAGTGGGTTTAGAAGTGCTTGTAGCTAGATTTCTTTTAAAAAAACGGGAAATAGACTTTGTGACATTCTTCAAGAGCGTGTACTCGCTTAGTTAGGTCATGTAAGCTGCACACTAGCCTCCGTCAGGGTCGTCGGCCGCGCAATGAGCTTCTCTATCAGTACATTACAGACACGTCAATGTAGTCATTTAATCAAATATAAAAAACTAGTCACCAACCAACGTTGGGTCTCCCACGAAGAAACTGTGAAAAGTAGCATTTACTTTTTTTTGCTTGTTTACACAAACCAAGCTATAGGTGTGATTTTCTAAATTCGAAATGAAAATAACGATACTTCAGGGAAGAAAAGACAAAAACCAAACTATAAAATTGTACTATCTTTGTAAATGTTTTGTTACATGTCCTTTTTATTTTTTATAGCTATTTTTATGTAAAAATTTCATTTTTGACGAAAAGAATTTTTTCGACTAAATAGATTGAAAGAGCTACAAAATTTAAACTAATTACTTCAATAGATAATTTTTGATAAAATTGCTTTTTTACGCCTATTCTTCCCCGAAGTATCGATATGCTATCGATATGATATTGTTTTTTTTGCTGTTTGGCCCAATGGTTGACTGTTGGAGAATATCTTATGGCATTAAGTCCACCATTTGCACTTCAGTGTATTCTACAATAAAGTTTAAATAAATAAATATGCAGTATTGGACCGAGAAAGAAAAAATCCGGGTAGGTGTAAAAATTGGTGTCCAGTTTATGCAAGAGTTATATATTGAACTCTTCATGACGCGTACCAAATATCATGTTTATTCATAGCGCCAGCTGCTGTAAACATTCGCGTCACTCCGAGCATTTGGATCTATTCCAGTGTTACACTTTTACGTGAAACAACCGTACAAATGGACTCGTGTTTCCGTTGCCCCCATTCCTGAAATACTTCTGCTCTAATCTCATCTTTCGTAAATTACGAAATCAGTTCATAAAACTCCAATCCTCTATCTAAAACGAAACTCTGCATAAAGTATACTGCAAAATACTTATAATGCAAATTGTGACACTTACTCGTCGTAGGTACACATACACAGATTATGAATACAGTTCATATATTTTATCTACAATATAGAGATAATGAAAAAATCCATTACGATAAAATTGAGTCAACTATTTGTAACATTTTTCCATTGTACCCATTGACTTACAATTATAATTGTACCATAAATATTTTGTTTGTTTCTGCATATATTTATAATATAATTCGATTGATCATCTGATTCGTTTTTACGTTAGAAATAACTACGTTGCATAGATTACATTGCACAGATTGAAAATGTAATTACACGTAATGGGTGTCAAATAAAATTTAATAGAGCACTCATCAGTTTGACCACTGTTGCTGTAACCAGTGGGGTCGGTGACCTGCTTCATCTACAATTAATAATTCAAACGTGGCAGCGGGCGTCGGCGGCGAACCACATTTGGCCAACACTTTTTTCACACCAGCGATCTGACGTGAGCACGATGATCAAGTGCTCGCCACTCGTTAAAAATTAATTTAATTTCACGTCTAGCCATCTTGACGCTTTTATGACTATATTTACCTATACTATATTTACTCGGCCTTTAGGAAGGTAATTAAGATAGACAGGCGTAGGTATGTTGAAGCAGTTGGTATTGTTAATTTCTGGACGCTTATATTTGTACAAACTACAGTAGCAATGTACCTATTTCTATAGCAGCAGAGCTCCTTGTGAGAAAAGTTCGTCCAGGGAAGAACTACCAACTTACCTATTTCTGCCGCGAAGCAGTAATATGAGTATTGCTGCGTTCCGGTTTTGAAAGACAAGGGTGCTGGTGAAATTACAGGCACATGGGACTTGTCAACTTATGACAGGCGCAGTGGCGACTTATAGCTCTGAGTGGCACTGCAACTGTTATGGACAGGCATGTAGATTACTCGATATTATAAAAAAATATATGAGCAGTGTATATTCGCACATATTGGCCATCCTAGGAATCTGAAACTTGAGCATGTTAGACCTGTTGTAAAGCATACGCGAGGTCGTCTTGACTGTGTTTTGCCACAACTCGCTTACTTCGCGATGGCTGTTTATGTGAAGGTCGGCTCTGGGCGACTCTACGTTTTCCACGTCCACGCCCTCATTACCGCCGCTCATTAGCCGGCGAAAGTGACTCACCGAGTCACTGCCTATCATTACCGATAAACATGGCACTCAACCCCCAATTCATTTCCTTCCTTTACCATAGCACATTTTCTGTATACGTGATGTAGGAACAGTACTCTGACAATACAAGGCAAATAAATGGCATTCCAAACGAAAACCACAGGAATATTTACGGTTAATTAAAATTATTATACCAATATGTGATGACTATTATACGAGTATATTACTATTATTTAGTTCGTATTGAGTAAGTAGGTATTCACATAGGTAATTTACATTTTACCATCCATTGGATAACCATGGGTTGGATATATTATGTACAGGTTGATACAAAAGTCTAACCCGTTTATTTTCTATTATCGTCTATTTTTGTAGGGCTTCTCCAATTGGTTTAGTAAATGTCTTAAAGCCTACTTCGTATTATCGTATTTATCTTTATCTAAGAAACCGACATCCTAAACCTCTTTATGGTTAATCCCTCACAAGAGTTAATTGACAACTGTCGTAAAGATATGTCACGATATTGTAGATCAAGTATATATCTTTTAGATTCATGGTATATATATAAGAAGTACTGACGGTCTGGTACATCTATCTGTTGATAAGTAAAGTGAACAAGTATCAATTCATCACTGCCCTTAACATCGATACTGTTTTCGAAAGTCATACGATATTTACGATCAAAACGTTCGCTTTCGGATTTCTCACTAGGAAGAGATAAGTTGGCGACACGTTACATGTGTACGCCGTTGTATTTTATCAAACTATGTCACCGCATGGCCTCAGGCGGATACTACTGGTTTGGCGGGTCCGTTACACCGAGAAAGTAGACCCAAGACGATCCGTGCGTTGCTGTAACTAACAAAATTGCATCGGTAACGTACTAATCAGCGATTTCTGAAGGAATATTTTACATAAATTGATCGCGTAAATAGTAACCTTTGCATACCAATACATTCGAAAACAAAGTATATACTTTAGATATAGATCTTTACATACAGTGACCAGCCAACCATTAAAGAAATTAATGAGGTAATTAATACTTCAGTTTTGGAAACAGACGAGCGTAATGATCATTTTAAATCTTTGATATTAAAATACAATTTAGTGGTAAATCAGTCGGCCGTTGTAACAACTGATACAGCCTGTATCCGAAAATACCCAAAGATTCATTATTAATTCCATTCTGCCTTCTCCCGTCCTTACATAAATAAATAAATGTTTTAACGATCATATTATTTATTGAGGTAAACAGACTAGAAAACAACACGAGACTCTTGATAAGAGGTCATGACACTTCGTCTTTAACGGAAAGAACGATTTATTTAATTACATTATTTATTAGTAACCCATTGCCACTTGCCACATATCACAGAAGGGCTTTAGTTCAAAAAGATTCTTTCCTTATCTCGTCTCTAAAAGGTTATTAAAGGTCCTTCTAAATCTACTAATCATTATATTGAACAAGCGAGTTATAGCAAGAACTGATGACTCACGACATGACATTTGTACAAACACGTAATCAACAAGGAAGTTATATTTATAACGCGTATTGACGACTCATAAAGATACACTTGATTTTTAAAGACCCAATCAATGTGCGCGAACGCAAATATCGCATTACAGTCAAGTAAACCGGCGCCAACGCGACGTGTGGTTAGCCAACCCGCTGCCCGCATGGACCGCTAACCTGCAACGCGTTCTAAGACACGTGCATCTTGCTTAGTTAAGTGAAGCACAGCACACAAGACTTAATTGTGTAGGTTTAAGATTTCTTCAACGAATTAGAATTTTCAATTTTCAATATCTAATTGGGTGTACACACAGCAATTTGTATAAAGAATTTCAATAGAAAATTAATTTAACTTTTATTTTAAATAATTAATGTGATCAAATTAACATATACCTGGATAATTGTTTTTATTGATATACACACATAAAAAATGTCATAGTACATTTTTGCTAATTACTGAAAATTAGATTTTGTTAACACCAGTGTTAAAAATGTAATAAAAAAAACAGATTTTCAGTAAGTGGCAAACACGTGCTTGACCCCTGGACACTTTTGATGTATGTATTATCTTAATAAATACGAGTACATGTATTAAATTATAATTTACAATAATTTATTAATTAACGCTTGAATTAAAATGAAAAACAAGACAATAAGACTTAAATGAATTAGATTCTCGAAGTTCTCTTTTCCTTCCTTTACCGTTCAATAGTCATAATTCTTTCCTCCAACGTAACTTTTTTACGAGTAATTCAAATGGCAAATAATCATTTAGAAGCTTGAGTTGGAGTTAGAAGATGTAGTATCAGGTGCGAGACTCGCGGGAGCGCGGAGGCTGGGCCGTGGATCAATACGGTGCCGGTACACCCGCCGCCGCCCGCCGCGGACCGACGAAAGCGAACGCTCCACATCGACCCCAGTGCCCTTCACCGAGGAGTCGACGACCCCTGGATGTACGCCCCACAATCTTCATGTCAGCCCTACACATAATCTTTGTGACCCGATTTATGCTGCCATGATCACGTTCCCAAATACCTAAGTAGTATCAAACATCAAATAAACTTCTGTTGAGTCAGTATCAATGTGATTCAATACTCAAAACATTAACGCATTTTTTTCCAATACTTCCGCAGACTTGGTGATTCAAAGTACACATAGATTTTATATTTGAATCAATAAAGGGTCATAGTCACTGCCAAACAATCTCCCAACTAAAAATTAATACTTTCAAATTAAAATTGCTGCTGCTGGTCCAGAGTTTATTTATGTAAATATGCTATTTAATCTAAGCTACTATCTCTGCGGGGAGTCTTAGCCAATGAACTTGAGTCAACCAGACCTCCACTGCGCTTTCTAAATAGATTTCAGGGTCACCGCAGTGAATATCTCATACGTAAATACCTACGTGCGTACAAGGTGAAGATAAGTAAAAATTGTCGATTCTCTTAAAAATTAAAAAATCCTAACTACTGTTTTTGTATTTTACTGAAATAGTCGAAAAGGGTCGGCGAAAAATAGCTGTAATTTTTCGTGCAAATGACTTCAGATTTTTGACTCGTGATGGGGTAGGGTGTCAGAAGCGGTCTCTCCACGACTATTTTAGGCAGCGCGCATGGCATTTGGGACGCGCGCGCTGGAAAATACGTACTTACCGATTTATTCTCGGATGCCTTACTAAAAGAGCACGCTTGCTTCACCCGCCAAATATTAGTTTTTTGTAATTTTGATTTCATATTTTACCACAATATAACGGACAGACCCATTACAATTTTGTTCCTTTGGTTAAACATCATTCCAATTTGAGCTGAAAAAGTAGAATAAGCACTGAATTCCTAAAGAATTCATTCACGGTCCCGTGATTTTAAAATTAATTCATATCTGTAGAGCGGCTGAAGCAGTGCTGTGTGTTAATTAAGTTTAGCTCAACACGAGTTGCTAGACAGTCAACGAGTTAGATTTTGTCCGGTCTAACGGTAGACTAACATCGTTAATTTGCACTGGCAAACACCGGGCCGCTGCCTAGTTTAAAAACATCCACTTTCTCTCAACTATTGGTAAGAATGTAGCGTATGAAAGAAACAATGAATAATTTTATTTCTCTTGTCATTATTAGGATTCTAGATGGTTTTATTTTCATTCCAATGCGCTGCTAAGTTTAAACAAAAGAAGTGTAGTCAAGGTCGGCCTCAGTTGTCAACAGCCGGCAGACTCCTCGCCCATCCGGTGATTGATCGTTTCTTTATAACCCCAATTTTATTGAGACACGTTTAAACAGCCAAGACACATTTAGCTAGTAAGTGTTTAATTTCTTAGAAATTTTCATGGTTATGGTGTCTCTACATATAGAATAGTAGTAGCTACAACGTTAACCTTATATTCGGGCGGGCAGACGTGAATAATGACTGACTAGGCAATATTCCCATATTCGGGACTGCGTGGACTCTAGTTCCATTTACACCTATTGATATAGGGTGCGCAGTACTGCGCACGGGTGTCGGAACGGGAGCAGACAGGGATGAGGCGGTGGCGGTGGGTCCGGACTGAGGCGGTATCGACCGCGACGTGGCTCGAGGCACGCGTACAGCCGTACACTTGACATTCGCGTTCCTTTGCCTCCCGGCTAGGGGTTCTCGACCCCTTACTTTACGTATAAAACATATCTATATGATATCTTTTATACATTTTCACATTGTCGCTTTATGAATATTGCGAGTTTCTAATAGAGACCTCAAATATAAGGACGATAGACAACTAAAATGCATGTTGCAGCCTGAATGTTTGACCTACTGCCTTTCAAACATAGGGTCGTGGATTCGACGAATGCGGGCTTGGAGTTTATTGGAATTGGAGTGCGAAATTTTGTTTGAAATTTACCATGAGCTTATGCGTGAAGGAAAACATAGTGAGGAAACCTGTACATATCTGCAATAATGTGAACATTACTGTGTTCCGGTTTCGAAGGGTATGGGTGCTGGTCAAATTACAGGCACATGAGACTTGTCAACTTATGTCTCAGGGTGTCAGGCGCAGTGGTAGTGCCCCTCAGATCTTTGTGATTTAAAGCTCTGAGTGACAGTGCAACTGTTAAGGACAGGCGTACAGCGTACACTGTTCGTCCCGTCACTTATTATTATAAAAAAGAGCACTTAAATTCCCGCGTGGGAACTACAGTCCAAGCTCTCTCATGGTGAGAGAAGGCCTGTGCCCAACAGTGAGACTATGTATAGGCTAATTATTATTATGTCTTATATTCAAGATTACAATTGACTTTTTTTTGTTGACAGGCGACGAACACCCGGGGCAGAAACAACGGAAAGGATTCTTTAGAAGTCTTTGGAAGAAATCACGCCATTACTCTTTAGAGCATCCATAAACGAATGAGATGGAATAAGAATAGTTTGTTCCAAAGTGTACCTATTTATAAATATTTTACATGGCAGCTAGTCATGGTTTTTCGAGTTGTGATTTCACTACATAACTCATATAGGAAAATGCACAACGTCGGTAATAATTAGTTTTGTACCTACTCTATTATAAGAAAAAACCGTTATATAATCGGGGGTTAAAATAAAATCTTACTTACGTGTCGGTTTGTTTAAAGATGTCGATTTCTTGTATTATCACCAAATTCAATTCACAATGAAGGTTTAAACAACTCAAAACAAATGCATATACATATATGCGTTACCCAACGTTGGTGTTGACGCACGTTAAAGAAAGTTAAGTCACTATGATTCGATTAAAGAATGGACTTTGTTTAAACAATGTATAGCTATATCGTCTAATCATTATTATATCAACGCATAATTTATTTGTAAGTTAACAAGTACGTATTCGTATCAACTAAAACTTTCTTTTCGTATAAATAGAAGTGTAGAAATGTAGATAACCACGTAGTAAGTACGAACACCAGAACTAATTTCATTTTGATAATTATAACGTTATGAGAAGCCCGCTTTGTATTTTCCAATGCAAGGATTAATTTTGTACTCAGTAGTATGTACCTGGCGGTACACATTAACAATTTATATAAAAGTTCTTTTCAATTAAATATTCTCATTTTACAGGGTTGGCACCTATTTGTCAGAACGCTTCAGCACCGCGGTCACACAAAACGCGTGTTTATACTCCATATATTTAGTGTTGCAAGTGTGTTGAGAAATGGGATTCAACCCTTATACGTTTTCATTATGTAGATTTAGAATATGATGGAAATTTAATCCTTGTGTGTTTTAATAGTAAAGAACCAAGCTATTGCTACAAGTTAAACATTTTATACCAATCCTTGTATTCGAGTGTACTTAACTCTTTTATTGTAGATTTGTCAAAGGGAAAATAAATTATGTTCATTAGCAATACTTTCGTAGTTTCAATTATCAATTGGGATGTCACCACACTTATCGGACAGAGATTCGCGTTAAGCCGGTCAAAAAAGCACTAAGTCCATGTTATAAAAGCGAAAAAGCGTTTCGCATGAACATCACCACTACAGCTCGGCTCAAGTCTATACCGCTTCAGTGTAGCGACTTCCTTATAACCCCATGTAGACTATCATTAATAAGGTTTGTTAGGAGATTACTACAGAAACCAATTATAATACAAATCGTTTTATTATTAGATAGACACAGTTCCCATCGCTTATCAGAAACAATGTACAAAGCTATAGTAGTAATATCAAATATAAACAATATGCACCCTTCGTTTACTGCAAGCCTTGAATAAGGATACAGGGTAATTGAGCGCTTCTAGTTTCTGCAGCTAAGAGATAGAATACAACAGAATGCAATATGTTTATTATTCACTACAAAAGATTATAAATGCGACATAATTAAAAAGAAGCATAGCAGAAAATTCAAGACGGTATTCACGACCTCACGGGCCGTGTCTGCCGCCCGCAGCCCGCCTCAAGGATCTTACGGTGGCGGGCATACTCACACGATGGTTCCAGTGGGACTAGAGATTATAAATTAAAATTGTAATACTTTACTTGGGTTACAGTGTCTTTCAATTTGTAACAAGCCCTTACACAAATGCTTATTTGTAATTATATTATATATGTTGTATGTATATCGTTACAGTAATTTCATTACGTGATTATTATAATTTCTCATCAAGCACCTGCTTGCCTGTTAAATCTTATAGCTGAGAGTAGAGGAAGGGTGTTGAAACTGTTTACACTAGGTACTATGATATAACAGTATTATAGTTAAATATAGCTAAATACATGAAACCGATTTAACAAGAGCCAGGATGCTCGAAGAGAAACTTAAAAAAATCTCTATACATCATGCTTTGAGACCTGCTTGCAAAGCTAAATAATGCTTTACTTATACTGGTCAATAAAAGCAAATTTTAAAATACAAATTTAAACCATTGTACAGTAACAATTACTCCGTGGAAGCGGTGAGCGTATAAAAAGGGTCCAGAATCCGCAAAGTAATTGTACCTGCATACAGTTACTAAACGCATCAGACACTGATGACGCCATAATTTATCAAATATCAAAAGAAATGAACGGTCCTTATCACTTCATAGAATATACAAAATGCAGTTTACTTATTTCCCTGTGGAAAAAATATTATCTTATAAAGTATCCTTAGATCACTGGGCGCTTCGATCTGAAAAAGAAACGTATTCACTGAGACGATGTTCACGAGTTTGAGCTATCAATGATAGAAAGTGATGTTAAGTAGCAAAATGTTTTGAGTACATGTGATTGTGAATTTAGTCATAATTATATCTAGAACTAACCTTTAATAACCACAGGTAATTAAATAGTCTCCTAACTTCTCCACTACAGACGCGGCTTGTTGGGGTTGGATGGGCTCTTCATACAGTGAAATTACGACGGCTGAAAAAAATATTTACATGTATCATTTGTACCATCATTTCTCTATTTGCATAATCGTGATAACGTTTATAACGGGTGAGGAATTTATTGTAAACAACAATGTAGGTAATTGTATTAATTATGCCGAGAGTCACGTCACGTCATTTGTTAAAAAGGGTTCATAAACAACTTCTATAAAAACAGACCTCTTCCGTAAATGATACAAATAAAAAAAACAATTTTCCTTGTAAATTCATATTATGGAATAGAAGAAAATCTAAAAATACACATTTCCCGTAGAATACAGGCGCAATCTCACCTTGCTGTGTTTTCATGCAGTGTACGCCGACCTTGCCGAGTTTTGCGCGTATGATGCGGTCTGTGCCACTGAGGTAGATGTATCGCGCGCCCGCTATCGTCACGCCTCCGCTCGTCAGGAGTGATTCATTCTCGAAACCCGCCACTATTTTCGCAACTTCATCTTTTGATATCTGTGAACAATGACATCTTTGTATAAACGCCTTATTTCTAAGCACGTGCTCAGCAAGACATCAAAGGAAACAGGACATCTATTACTATCGCAATCAGGTCGCATCTAGTAGGACTCGACAGTTGAACAAATAAAGGGATGCGCTCAATCAAGGTAAACAAAAACCTACTCTCCAATTCAATGTAGAAAATCAAATACTAAATAAACCTACTCTCCATGATTCTCCGGCGTCCTTTCGTTGATGATTCGACTTGTAACGAAACAAAGGTCATTAATCGCTCACTATACCTACTGCTGATGAACACCCAATACTAAAAAGAGAAATTTCTTTTAGAGCCGCCTATTGTATACAACCTGATTCGGAAGATGTAATAAGGTACAAACCGCTGCTATATAATTGTATTAGTCTCTGAATAAACGATTATTATGGAAAAGCGTCATATTGCAAATATTTTTTGCATGCGAAATATTAATTGCATGGCGTCAATATAATGTTACGTCTTTTTGCGATAGCTGTACGTTCTCTTTCCAAATGTGTTGTACAGTTAAGAGCGCGTCAAGTTTGATATTATGGACAAAAGCCCTTTCTTATCGCAATAATTGAATTCAAATCTCAACCGAGCTAGACGTGTCCTTGACATGGCCAATAGGCCACGCAAGTGATAACAACACTTCTTGGTTTTACGATTAGGATTATTCCTAAAGTATTATTCCGCGTAATAGACTGCATCGGGTTCTCCTAAACACTCATGAACAGCGGCGATGTTTTCGGCAGATATTGCGTTTCTCTGACGTACGGTAGTTGGCTGATGGTTCACTGAACCGGCCGAACCGAATTTGAACAACCAAACGTTGAGTAGTCGACTGGGAAGGACGAAAAGGTAAACCGTAAAATGATCATAAGCTGTACCTTGCTATGATGATTATTTGTCTTCAGTGACTGGAAAATAAACAACAAATTTGACAAAAGCAGCCCCAACAACATGCCCGCTATGAACTGTCAAAATCGACCCGCCCTTGATGGAAATCCCTTTAGAGGCAAAAACCGACCACTAGTTTCTGAATTTTGAATCTGCCTTACAAATGAGTAATAGAGTTTAATAAAATAAAGATTGTTTGTGTGGCAAAAATACTGGTCAACATAGTAAATTCATAATATACGTTATGTTGCAACTTATTAAAAAAACATGTAACAATTAAAATTACTAGGCAAGCGGTAAATACGCAATAACCTCTACATTTCCGCGTAGAACATTACCATCACGTTGTCACACAGATATGATTACAACAGTAAGTCATCGATTTGTGATTTCACATATATTTGCAGTAATGTTACTTAATATAACGATACTGCCCATTTTGATTAGATGTCAAGACAAATAACGACTAGTTCATACACGAACGCAAGTAATGAATAAACTGTATTGGAGAATCTTGGTTGATAATGAGAACTAACTAGAAATAAGTTGGAAGGAAATACTATCATCCAATTACAAATTAGGCAAGCAACTTTTAACAAGTTTTATTCCAATAATAATAACATACATCAATTCTCCTCATAAATGTGTTTTAATTACACCACAGACGGACCATACCTACCAAGTTGGCAATCTAGTATTTAGCAAACAAGATAAATAGCTTAGTAAGTTAACACTATTATTATTTTTCTTTTTTAACGCACACACTCATAGCCGCGCACTAGGGACACATATAGACAACCATAAATTACACCCAAACTCACGAGAGAAACGAATGTATTTCGTATAACTATCAGAAATTTTATTTCAATTCTGTATTTTTGACTCATTTTTAATTACACTAGTGCACTTGTGTTTGTAGTTATCAATGAGGCTTCGGAAAATTGTATGCAAATTCTTTTACACCTTTTATTGCAAAGGAACTGCTAACTGCCTATATACTAAGCTACTGACTAGAATAAGCGCGTTTATGCACTGCATCCCATACGTATTCATTCCTAATCCGAGACCATACAAATCTAAAAAACTCAGACCCACTTCGGATGTCACTTGTGCACTAAGTCCAATTCGAATTTGAGAAAATACAAATATCGCTTGCACACCTAGAGATAAAACGATCCCTGTGACATTTCGGATCGTCATTTGGTGGATTCGGAACTGGGGGTCTACTCTCGATCTCCGTCCGAAACAAATACTGCCAAATAAGCAATACTTGACCAAATGAAAAGACGCCTGATGCGAATGAAGCTTCATACTGGATACTTATCTTTTAATTTTTCACCAAGATAAAGGTCCAAAAATGCTACGGTCACTTTTCTTTACAAGATTAATCGGTTTACATTGGAAATGTATAACTGTTTTAGGTACAGGGTCAAGAGCACGTCAAGCTTGACAATTAAGACTTAAATCCAACTCTATGCCGCCTACGATAAGAACGGTCCAAAGTACAAAGTGACAAGCTTGACGTGCTCTTGACTATACTTATTCGTTTTTAGTATTAGCCTTACACGTGAGAGCCGGACGAAACATCCTTTCCTGTACGTCTGGCAGTAATAGGCGAATACGCGTTTGCGATTGGCAAATTCTTTCATGACAATGGGAAACATTTTAGTGTATGCCATTGACACGACTTTTTAACTTTATTGTGTAATTAATAAGTGTGTAAATAAATGGTTTTACCCACAAAAATTATTTAATCCTTTTACTGTAGGGCTAACACGACAGGGCGGGACTTGCGCGAGACATAAATAGCGGGATTTCTATGCGAGAACAGCAGTATCTCTAACACACCACCAGTATGGTATTTTCCTGCCTGTGGATCTGTCTGTTACCTATGTCTAGTGCAAAACAGCACTTCCGATTGAAGAGTGGAGAGAGCAAGTACAATTCTAGGTACAAATCTAAGACTCACGGCCAGCAACGCATTTGCCATATCTCAAAGGACCTTAAATCCACACTGTTGAATTTACACGTTTTTAACAAACTTTGCTCTAGAATGCAGGGTTGGAAAAATCATGCTTTTTTGAAAAAAATCGAATAAAGCACGATTTTTTGAATAAATCCTAATTAATGACGATTTATTTAGATTTTTAATTTTATCACACAGTTTAACTATATTTTTGCGTAAAACGTGGTAATGTACAAGGTTAATTAACCGCGGCAAGCTAGTTCTTCTGTTTAAGTATTATAATAATGATATTGATTTCTCGGATGTAAAAGACCTAGACAACAAGTGTGGTGATACCCTAAGGACACTATATTAGTAACGAAAATTGTTTACAGGCGGCGGTAATTATTTCCAATAAGACTGTTACGATGAATTTAATGACAATAATAAAAATCCTAGACTAGTAATTCCGCTCTTGCAAAGAAACTAAACTAATTTGAGAATAAATGTTTGATTCCACATCCACGACAACTATGTGGAATTAAATGGTATTTCCAGTCATTTCAAATGGACTGTTGATATAACTATCTTTAAGAATGTAAATATAAAAAAAAATGTTATTTAATAATTTTCAAAAGGAAGATTTTGTTTAAAGAAAAAAGAGAAGGTCTATTATTAAGATGAACCAGCACTTTGAATAAAATGTATATACAACATAAGAAATCTACTCATTAATTTATGGGTTTATCCTAAAAGGGAACAATTTAAATTGGAAAATGAAAACAATAACATATAGCAGGTTTCTAAATGAAATTTTTTCTTAATTATCAGCTAAAATGACAGGAACTAACCTTAAGATGCAACTGGGATGATTAAACTTGATTCTTTATCAATTCACTCTCAAATAAAAAGATTACCAACTGAAACAAATGTCCAGTGAAACTATACACTTAATTAATGTACAGTCATCAAGCTTATAACACTTTTGTTCAAATATCCAGTGCAACAGAACAAGGTCCGTCAATATGTAGCTTGATGTGCTGCTGTCTGTATAAGTATTTGGTTAGACTGAACCAAAGGGGGCACAATGAAAATGAGCTTAAAATAATTTTGAAAAGTGATTGATTATGCTCATTTCAGAGTTTAGTTCTTCATTAATATTTTAGGTTAATATATCATTATTTAAGTCAATTTGATATGATGATTTTTTAAATAATGGTGAAAACCAGATGATTTATTGGAAGAAATGTGTAATTGTATAAATAAATTGTAAAAGGAAAGGAAGAAAGGAAATATAATTTCAATAAGGAAAATTTTATCAACAAGACATCGTAATCATGATAGTTCAAAAGTATAGCTGTATGTTTTATTTTTAGATATGATTTAATAACATTATGTATCAACTCGTATTTTAAATGTAACAGCTAAGCACGTGTCTAAGGAGGGTTAACTGCTGGTGTGATCGGGAGATTTATGTATTAGGCATGAAACGACCTCAAGACACAAACTCAATGCCTGCTTTCTTCAAAAATAGGTAACTAATTTTGGAGAAAACCGACATACCTATCTAAGCAAAACACAGTTGCTGATATTGAAAAATACAAAAATTCACATAGAGCGTTTACATTAATTAAGACAAAGCCAATTGTAATTCCAACGTTAAATATATACTATGATTATGACAAAATTCTTTAATGCTCATCCTTAACAACCTATTACCCACGTCTCGAGATACCGGCCGGCTTATCGCCGTAGTTTCAACCGACAGTACTGCAACAGGCAATAAGACAATTTCGTTGATATCTTCTAAGTTGTTCCAGACAACGAAAATGAAGGAATAATCAGGTAATGCATTCGCTCCATCAGAAAATCACGTTTCTTGTTCGATTTTGACTGCCACATGTCGCCATCTTGTAAAACTTGCCGGATAGTATTCGTCATCCGATTATAATAAAAGCACATTGTCACGAACCATAGCGCACTATACATCACATTTGCACCAATTAAACCTTGTTTTCTAACATATCACTTGGCACGAGGTTGAACAAAACTAGAAACTTACTTCGAAACCTTCCGACTTGGCCCAGACATTTCCGTCGTGACCGGCAATCGCAGCCTTTGTAACACATCTGGATGCCATTAACTGTTTATCAACATAATCTTGCCAGCTCATTTTGATTGAGTTCAATTAAAATAAAACTACACTTGGCTAAACACAATCTACTCTTCGCAACGAGCAAACGCTCCACACGAACAAAAAGCACTGCCGTTTCAAAATGGCAGCGTGTGCATAGACACCACCGGAAATACATAGCTGCCAACGTGCCCAACAAATTTTAATGCGTTCACTTTTAAGAAAATCCATAGACAATCAAAATGAATTTGTCTTTACATAAACGATGTGCTGAGTTACATTGACAAAGCCGCACACTGATTCACTAGTGAATAGACATGGGGAATAGCGTTACATTTCTATCGCCGTGACTGTCGTTCCGGTTCCAAAAAAATCACAGTGATAAATCATCGTGATTTTGTCACGACTGTTACTTCCGTGACCTTGTCACGCCTATAACTTACTTCACGATATACGGTTTTAGCCAGCGGTTTCTTTCTAATACTTATAGCCGTTTTTTATAGAATTATTTAAGTTTTTACTCCCTTTGTAATAACTAATAAGTTTCAATTCCATTAAAAAAGTTGATTTTGTATTTAATATAATTTTGTTTGTTACTTATTTAATGCGAATCTTTGGATTGTTAAAAATAGCAATAAAGTGTAATGTAATTATATTTCTAGTAGAATACACAAAGTAGATTATACATAAATATAAAACACCAACTCTTCCTATAATAAAACAAATATACAAAAATATTTTACTTTGTTCATAAATAGGTTTATAATAACTGCTGCAGATTTTTTTCATCCGCCTTTTCTAGTAGTAATAAGCACCTACGACCCTTGTGAGTGAGCAAAGAAAGTCATCCTATTTCAATCACTCCCATCGCCGAAATGGCCCGATTTGAAGAGAACTACAACGAGTTACGCGCTCAGTCACCACGGAACGGAGATCGCGCATTATATCAAATACGTATGTCGTGATGTGAGTGACAGGGATAGCTATTGGAACGGAGGAACACCTATGTGACTTTGGAACGTCGTTCCTTCGGAACGAGTCACGGTGATACTGTTTGACGGCGGATCATCGTGATTTTTTTTCCGTGACGTTATTTATCACCCACCCCTACTAGTGAATGCCAAATGCCAATTATAGAGAGGTCGCAGCCACTAGTAGAGGTGGGTGTTAGCACTTTAAAAAGTTTGGTTTTTAAAATAAGCACATAAGCACGCTTTTTTAAGAGTCGGTCTGTTCAATACTCAACAATTTCATTTTTTATAACATGCTTATGTTTCAAGTCCCGTCATCTATGTTACCTAAATAAATTAATTCGTCAATATGAATAATAATTTTTGAAATAAAAATAAAACTTGTGTATTACAAAATTAAATAAACTTACTTATCTTAAAACAAATTAAATTGGTACTGAAGGTCTTATGAAATGATAGAGAAGAGTATTGACGTGACCTTATGCGACCTCAGTGCGTGACAATTAAGTCAAGTGGATTCGCATAAGTGAAGTTAGGCTAAATTTATGATGATAATGATGAATCGATAAGTTGAATCAATATAATTGACGTGAAAAAATATGTTAAAATAGATAAATAGCAATTAATGTAAAAAGTTAGACTTATTTATGGAATATAATTCCATCCTTGGCTAGGCTGGATGTCGCAGACATTTTTTTTTATTTGTATGGCGCAAGACGACATAATATTTCATGGAGGACATGACGCGGTGAATTCGATAGTGGAATGGAAAAAATCGATTCAAAATTAGTTTTTATTGTGCGGTAGTATTTTTTATTTGGTACAATATGTTCGTACCTTAGAGGATGGAAAAAGATACATACATACCTTGGAGGGGACTGTCTATCGATGACACCTCCAGTTTTGTATAAAACCTACAGCTCTCTGATAATGTGTATGCGGAACCTATAAACAGATCGTGTGAAATTTTGAATATAATTGAAATGAATAAAATTGTTAATCCTTGTTAAAGGCGGATAACAGAATAAGTGCTTGTGAAAACACGAATATTTGTGAACATTGGAAAACATTAAAAGCTTATAAAATAACCATAGACAATTTCTTAAAACTAATTCACTGGAACGTTACCATAACAAAATTCACTGAAGTTGTCGGACGTACTTCCGTTGTTTTATATCCCAATAATTTAGTATTACGCATCAACTTGTGATACTGCACTTTTACAAAATTTAAAGCAATTTCATAAATCTTTAAAAAAAATTATAAAATTGGTGTAAGATAAATTAAGTTGCAAAAAAACGGTTTATTGAATTACATAAAAAAAAGCTTCTGTGAAACTCAACTTGACCTTGCTAGTTCTTTTCCGTTCAGCTACCGCGATTGGAACATGTCTTATTCACCTGAAAGAAGGTAAGTTTAGTTTGTGTGATATTTGAGACCCAAATTATAACATAAACGGAATTATGTGTGGCAAAATTAATGGGTGAATTGAAGGATAGTTTTGTTTCAACGTAGATCTCGCTATATCGGCGGAATTAGCTTTATTCTCCACGGTCGCCGATTGCCAACATGGCGCTGGCAGAACATTACTTCAAGTTCGGCATAGTGCACGTGTTTTACCTAAATGTAATTTACTCTTTTTTTTTATGTAGAATTCTTAATATACAAAGCAGCATCGTCTTTAGTATAATAATTTGGTAAAATGCTCCTTCAGTAATAAGTGATTTATATGCAACTTCAAAATGCCAGTTTGACAGCAGCCTTGCTGCCACTTGTAATTTTTAATGATTTTTCCTCGATATCTTAACACAAAATGAAGCGCGTATGTGATCTGTTATTATTTCAGTGATCGCCACTAACAAAACATTTTGTTGTATTTACAGATCAGAAGATTGGCCGGAGGATTCCAAAAATGGGCCATCAAAGGATCAAGTTAACTATGATGGGCCACCCGGCTTGGAAACTGAAGGCGCTTTGGACACAAACTGGCATCAAGTCGTGGAAAGCTTTGATGACATGAACTTAAAAGAAGAATTACTGCGAGGAATATACGCTTATGGTTTCGAAAAGCCGTCGGCTATTCAGCAGCGCGCAATTATGCCATGTATCCAAGGACGTGATGTCATAGCTCAAGCCCAGTCTGGAACTGGCAAGACTGCTACGTTCTCTATATCTATTCTGCAACAAATTGACACTAGTGTTCGTGAATGTCAAGCACTCATTCTGGCGCCGACTAGAGAGCTGGCGCAGCAAATTCAAAAGGTACGCATTCGCCATTGTTTGCCGCGAATCAATATTGTATTGTGTGCAGTGTTAAATAACAATGTTCGGTGTGATTTCGGATAATAAGTGTTGACATTAATTTTAGGTGGTGATAGCTCTTGGTGATCATTTGAATGCTAAATGCCATGCTTGCATTGGTGGCACCAATGTGCGTGAAGACATCCGCCAGCTGGAGAGTGGTGTACATGTGGTGGTGGGAACACCAGGACGAGTGTACGATATGATCACTCGCCGAGCTTTGCGTGCTAATACCATCAAGCTGTTCGTGCTGGATGAAGCTGATGAAATGTTGTCTAGAGGGTGAGTTTATACATAATTGTTATACAGCTATATTGGATTTAAAAAGAAGGCTACACATGTTATGATTCATTTGTTGCTGAGCCTTAAAAGGTTAATAATGATAGTGTGTTATAATTGTTAATACCAAGATTGAACACTCAGAATAAATTCCTTCGATCCGGCCGGATTCGAACCGACGTCTTCTAGCATACCGTGGCATGGTATGCTAGAAGAAACTAGTGGAGTAATTTCACAAAAAATTAGTTTATTTAGTTCCCTACTGCACAAAAATGTGCATTTATTTTGATAGAAAATATTCATTTGTTTATACAACTTGATTAGTATCATTCTGTTATTACTGAAAACATCTTTCTAAGATAAGGTGCTTAAAACAATACCTGCTTCTACATTCCAGGTTCAAGGATCAAATTCATGATGTGTTTAAGATGCTGTCTGCAGATGTGCAGGTCATTCTGCTCTCAGCTACCATGCCTGATGATGTGCTTGAAGTGTCTCGATGCTTCATGAGAGACCCTGTCCGCATTCTTGTACAGAAGGAAGAGGTGTGTACACATTTTATAAGATTATCACCTCTATTTAATTGAAAACAAATTGATTGTATGACTAATGGATGCTGGGTAGTATATTACGTACAATTATTATTAGTCTCTATTGTACTTTTGTCTGTGATCTCATGTAGTAAAGAAAGTCATGTAGTACATTAGATTAAAACATAGTTTCCATTGTTATAAGGATGTAAGGTTATAAGGATGTAATAATAATAACTTCTGTTTATTCACAGCTAACCCTGGAAGGTATTAAACAATTTTTCATCTCCATTGAGATGGAAGAATGGAAACTGGAGACCCTGTGTGACTTGTATGATACTCTATCCATTGCTCAGGCTGTCATCTTCTGCAACACCCGCCGCAAGGTATTTTGTGGTGTACCATTAATAGTCATAGCAATATTTCCATGCAACTGGCCATTGACTTGCCTCTCTCTAATTATATGATGCATCAAAAAACTGAAAACAAATGAAGAGTGCACTTGAAGCACTTCAATGCAAGGTTGACAATTGCTCAAGTAATGTTTACTATTAAGTATACATGTGCTGTGTATGAAAATAATCATAATCTCTTAATTAATTATTTACAGTTTGTTTTAATATTTTATTGCCTTAGCTAGTCATATCATAAATTGTTTTGCAGGTAGACTGGTTGACAGAGTCTATGCATGAACGCGATTTCACCGTGTCTGCAATGCACGGCGACATGGATCAACGCGAGCGTGAGGTCATCATGCGGCAGTTCCGTACGGGATCTTCGCGTGTACTCATCACCACTGATCTGCTTGCTCGTGGTATTGACGTACAGCAAGTCTCGTGCGTCATCAACTACGATTTGCCAACCAATCGCGAGAACTACATTCACCGGTATGTTCTAAAAAACTTAATTTAAATGGAATTTTATGCAATGTCGATTTGTTTAGTGTATTTTATAAAATTGGTTCACGAATTGTTACATTTTTATTTCAGAATTGGAAGAGGAGGTCGTTTCGGCCGTAAAGGTATCGCCATTAACTTTGTGACTGAAGCGGACAAGAGAGCACTGAAGGATATTGAGGACTTCTACCATACTACTATCACTGAAATGCCCAGCGATGTGGCCAACCTCATCTAAGGGCCTAAGCTTTCCTGGTTTATACTTTGTGTCCTGCGTTCTATTGCGATATTTATGAGGTGTGAGTATTAGGAGCAGACTCCTAAATACCGCTGTGCCGAATTTTTTATTGGAACTCATTTTATTTGGACCGATATATTCGTTTTAGTTTAATTAATGAATGCATTATTCTATAATAGACGTATCAATATAAGTTTAATATACATAGTTAGGAGTAAGACCGGCTCGGCCGGATGGCCCCCGTTCCGCGCAGGCCTCTCTGCCGCTTGCAGAGAGGGCTCATCGGGTACTGGAGAGGCTATTTCAATCACAAAAGTACTAGAAGGAAACAATGTATTGTAACTCTTTTTTCCAGTTGTACATAATATGGTAACTGTTTTTGTATTACGGTAAATAAATATAATGAAATACCTTAGTTGTATTGTTTATTGATGTGAGATTGTAGCGCTCCATTCCCGATCGGAACCTTAATTTCTCACAAATATTGTACTCAATGAATAAATTTTGTTTGCAGAAGATCTACCTACTGAGCCTGTTGAAACGCACTTTGGACACAACTATGTGGAAATAATAAATCAAAATTTCCTTAATATGTTACTTTCTTTTGACAGGTCCTTAATTGTATCCTGTATTCCCTATTGCTTTTGCATTTTACATTTGAATTTGTTTTCTACATGGTTTTTATGTTCATTTCAAATTATTTATATTTTTGGAATAAATTTTGTTCAAAGTAATCATGACTTTTGAAGAAGTTGATATAATTAAGGTTCCTGTTTCCGCTTGAGCAAAATTAGCGCAATGTTCATTTCCCTGGAGCCATTTAAAGAGAATACAGAGCTGTTTTTTATTAAGCTCTTAGATCGTATTAGTCATTAACTACAGTGTATTGCAAAGTAGTATGTATGTACATATTTATTCCTTTTTAGTTTGGGAATACAATAGGGAAATGTAGTGATGGTGTTTTTGTGTTTCATGAATAAACTTTCGAAAGAATAATTTTGGTCATAAACAGTAGTTTTTAATATTGCTTTATTATATTTGAACTTAGTTTTGGTTATAAATTTACTTAGCAGAGGTAACAATTTCTCATAATCATAAGTCATTACTAAATCTATATATACCAAGTTTTATATGTACCAAGTTTGTACAGCAAATAAATGACTAAACCTTTAATCAGGTTATCACAGTAAATTATGAACATCGTCAGTGGAATAACAACATCAGATTAATACGTATAAAAGCTCAATGTACTATCTTTACTACTTGACACAAGACAACATTAATAATGCTCTTTACGTATTGATTACTTATGTACTTCCATAAAGTGATATAATTTCTTAATAAATTAATATCACATTTCTGTTAACATTAACTTTGATAAGAATATAATACAATGTTACTTTCACCAAGTATCATAAAAATGCAAATAGAAATATCAATAAAAGTACAACTACGGGAAAAATTACATAAATAGACACCCTCGGATGACAAACCGATACAAGAATGGAAGCATCATCATCATTTCTCAAACCATCACTAGTAGGCATTTCCACTATAACTAATTCATCACTGAGAAATCCTACATCGAATTCACATTCTGTTTTATTGAGACATATTTTGGAAGCTGACATGTTCACATATTGGAATGTTGGCTTATAAATATCAAATATGACATGAATATCGTTACTTACTAAATCATTATCGCTATAAAATATATAATAATAATATCCATCATCACTGATATTGTGGACGACTTTGAGTGTAGTGGTGTTTTTCAAGTAGTCTGTGCTATTGCACTGGCTAGAATATGGGAATAAACGATTTAGGAGCATATTGTCATGGTAACATTCATATAAACTGGTTTCAAAGCTGGAAACAGAGTTGTCCTCATTAGTGGTGAGATTGATTGCATTTCCTCCATGGTTCACGCCTGCATCCAAAACTGTATTTGGATTGTGTAGTGGTACCTTAGTATTTCTCTTGAACCTTTTCTTTTGTCGTAGTATATTGGAGTAATCTTGATATTTTGTCTCAATGTCATTTTCGTTTCCTTCAAAAAAAAGTTCGTCTTCAATAGGATTTTGTACTATATCAGGAATGGGTTTAGTCTTTTTGTCAGGATTTTCCAATGTAGCTACAACATGAGCCTGATTTTGTACAAAATGTTGGTTTCTTTTATATTTGTCTCCATCAAGAATACCACATGTGTTCAGCATTTTGTCACCTTTGACTACCAGTAATTTGGAGCCATCATATCTAGAGCAAGCTTTTAGTTCTACTGTGGCTCCTTTGAATAAATAAAATCCCCAATATTCTAAAGTATCATCTGGTAAAAACATAGACTTCTTTAATCTTATATGTTTTCTTTTGTCAGATAATTCTGGTCTGCCTTTCATTTGGAATGCATTGAATGTAGAGTTCATCTTCAGGGAATGTTTTTGACAGAATATTGATGACTGACCTTTATGTATTTGTATAACATCGGAATCCGATATCTTATACATAACATCGGCATACTTAATATTCCGCAGGTATAAAGGTATAATAATGAGTACTGAAGGCAAAATTGTGGTGAGAAGGCAGAATATTACAACGCGTCGTGATCCATGCATTTTATGGTAATCTGGAAATATAAAAGTCGATTTTAGGTATGTATCAATGTGTATAATCTTAGTATACATTGAATGGACGATCTTCCCTATTTTTCTATTTGATTGGTGACTCAGGATGACTGACCAAATGAGATACGCAGATCAAACCGTGCACGTTATTTACTACTTAATGAAGAGAATACAGGCTACTTCATTCCTTTAATAAGGAATGAAGTAGCCAGTATTCTCATGTCAGATTGGCTGACCACTTTTATTTTCTCACGATTTTAGCAGAGTGTCATTTATATGTTTAATACTTCTTTTTACTACCCAAATCATATTTCTTCACTATTGTAGGAAACATCTTTAGAAAGTTATTTGAAAAGAATATTAAAGTTATTGTAAAAAAATTTATAGTTCTTTTACTGCGTATTTGCTAATGTGTTGTACTATCCAACACAACCATTCACTAGTGTTTTCCTTTATTTTTTGCTGAACAAGAGCACATCAAGCTCGACATTTTGTACTTGGGACTGTTCTTATAAGCTGTTGCTTGGTTGGATTAAACTAAAGTTGGACTTAAATCTTAAGTGTCAAGCTTGACCCTGCACATAGTCATGAAAAAAAAAAAGTAATACAATAATAATTCTTTATTTGAACAGAAAAGTTACATTTCATTGTAAGGCCCTGGCTTCCGAAATAGGTTCAATGACCGGTGTTACGGAAATCAGTGTCTTCTCTACAGAGCTAAGGCCAACAGTCAAAGTTATCTTTTTTTCACAGGTAAGCAAATTAAACTTGAACTCATCATACTGATTAAACTCTACTGCTCATTCGCATGGCTGATTCCCCTGAGAAGAATGAGCAAGTAACTCTGAGGGTTGCTCTTTGTAAATATACATTTATCATTACATATTTATTTTAAACATGCTATTTTTAACTAATCTCTCAACTGGGTTACGAAAAGAAATAGTAAAATTTGTTTTAATATACCAAAAACAAACAATATTTTGTTGCAGTTGTCATTTTAAGTAAAAATTTGGTTTTTTTTTGTTTTGAGTTTTGCATGTTTTTAGAGTCATTGTTCAAATTTCATATGGTTGCTGTTAATTTTATGCTTTGTTGTCGACTCTTTCTTTGTTTATTGTTGAGTTTTTTTAATTTGTTGTGTAATTTTTTTAGAATTTATGATTATTATTTTTATGATTATTACTTGTTCTAAACTATAGACTATAAACTTATAAATCTATGACGATCAATTTATAAACTTATCATCTCTTCATTGTAAATTATCTTGTTTAGATTTTAAAACAGATTTTTCATTCAATTTTACATCACTACATCACTAGAAACAGAAAATCTCAAACATCACCATACCCAGGTGAAACAACTATAGCAATTGCACAGAGCAAATTAGTTGCCATAAACGTATGCAGGTGCTTTAATAAGAATTTATTTAAATATCTTTTACTCAAATAGTGATAAAAAATATGTTTGAATCATAAATGGAATGACAAAGACATAGATTATATATTGTTAAAACCATGATTAAATAAAAATTGTCAGTCAACCAGACGTCAGAGTGGCTGCGCACTTTATTCCTTTAATATATTCATTAGCACAAAAATAACAAATATTTTATTATAGGTGGCAAATAGGTACTAAATACTGCGCACAGTTTGATTTGCGATCTCGTTTGGTCCAGTCATATTGACGATCACATTAGATTTTGCTGTAGATGACTAAACACGTCTTAAGAGTAATTATTTATATACAATATGAAGCTACCACAGTCTGCACGAAAATAATGTTGAAACCTTCCAAAAGATTATGAATATATCAACCTTATTTGAACGATTTATCATGCATATTGTTTTCGGATGTAAATCGAAGTGGTACCTGAAGTTAATTTGATTTTCATCGAATGTACAATTAGATGACAAGATTCACGGTCAGACCTGATCTGAGTACTGTATTTTCGCAGAAATGCTGCTACCAGTCTCCCGATACAGTCACGATCATATTAAATACGGACGAGAAATTTCTGAGCTATCGAAGAATAAAGAACTTACATTGTATCTTAATAATTACGTAGAGAACCGGTAACCACTTTTAGTTTATCAAGGCACAAGTTAATGTTGATCATGTTTGTATCCAAAAAAATTTTACAACTATGACTCACGCATACAAAGTTAAAATAGTTTAATTTCCATTTTCCACTCAAAACACTCCGCCCAAGGTTCAAAACAATAATGTCAAATGTCACGAATAGAGATGGATAAGTATGTTTTGAAAATTTTATCGATATCGGTGTAGTTTGTCGCTATTCTCTGTATATAATTTATTAATATATTTATTATTATTGATTCATTAAACCTGTTTTTAACTACATAGTATGTACATAATTCAATATTGTTGTCGACTTTATAGGCACCTTCTGGGTTACAGAAAAGTTCACTATTCTTATTTTTTTTAATCAAGAACGGGCAAGATAACAAAAGTCATCTTTGTCCAGTTAATTAAAATTTAAACTACAAATGTTTCTGTGTCAAGACTGTCCGGATATGCACTCCATACTAATTTTACCTGTAAATTAAGCCAATTGTCTAAATAACTATAATTGAATTTTGCACTATTCGTGCATGGCTGAATTCGCAACATACATCAATATTAGATCCTTGTTATTCGTTATTATTGAAGGAAGTTTTATGTACAGAGGCAACATATTATCAAAATTTGCTATTGTAAATCAGTTAGATTTTAGAAACCGTAAAGTTATTACGGTTTGTTTAATTAGTGAATAAATAAGATGATGACCTTATTTAGCGCTATTTTGAAAACAAATTGTCGAAATGTAACTCAAAGACACGAAAATTTGTAGCACATAAATAATTCTGAAATTTCGTTTTACGGACATTGTAATAATGCATACAAAACATACATTATGATGATTATGATACAATAAGGTTATAAGTGGGTTTTGGTAGGTTTAAAATGTAAAACAATTCATATTTTTTATGTTTACAAAATTATACAAATTGAGTGAATAAATGAAGAGGCTGCGCTTTTTGTAAAAAGTAGGCAATTCTTGAGATTTGCGTCATTCCTGGATCTTAGTGTCTTAAGTCTGTAAATTACATACTTAACAATAATTATTATAAAAGTATCAGACATCGTTATCGACCCGTATACATCTAATTTCTTAGCACATGTTCTTTTGAAAGAGAGAATTTAGATGGTAGTCTACTACGCTAGCATATTTCGAAGGATTTTGTAAACTATTTTATATATATAACGAAATAAAGCGCATTAATTACATTTAGATTAATATTAATGTCGCGTACTTATTAGCTACTGATAATACAAACTAAAAATAATCAGTAAATGACTTAACTAGTAAATATATTTGCCTCCGCTTTCTATCTTATTTTTACTCTCACTGGTATACATATATTATTATGCAGTAAACCTTCGCAGATAGCCAAAAACCTCATCCAAATAGCTAGTTAGTTAAACATTAGAGAACTTTATCGAAGTATGGGTTTAATCACTTTTTCCTTCATAAACAAATAATAATAATTAATGAAATAAAATAAATTGTATCGACCAAATTAAAAGACGTATGACGCGAATGAAGCTTCATACTTGGCGTTGTCTTTAGATTTGATCGAATATTACTTATTTGACAGTAATTGTTTCGGACATAAGAGGCAATTATTGATCTCAACTAGGTTTTCACATCGTCAACAGTTTATACGTCCTACTGCTGGACACGGGCCTTCTCTAAGGAGGAGGTTTAAGTCATAGTCATTCTTGGACATACAAGTTTCATCACTATGTTTTCGTTCATCGTTAACAAACTTTCATAAATTTGCAACTAATAAATAAAGCCACAGTACATGCCACCACACGGTGATTCGAGCCGTCGATCTTTTGAGAAGCAGCCGTTCACCCACAAGGCCAGGTTTACCTACCACCGTCATACGTTTTCACAGTTCGTTCAAAGTGACAAAGTATTTTCATCGCTTTTTGCTTACCATTTTCTTTAGTTTGAACAGCAGCGTAGTTATAACTGAAATTGCTTGCGTAATAAGCACTTGGAGTTCGTAGAGCCCTCGTCTGATTCATTTTAACTTTGCCTAATCAACACACAAAAAATAGAAAGAAAACTTAATAGAGTGCACATGCACGTACAAAGCATTCAAACGAACTGGCTAGGGCAAATGATAAACCTTTATCATTTAATTATCTATCTCCTTGCTTGAAGTAGTGACAAATTGATAAGACGTGATGCATGTTAACGTACCTATCTGTTTATTGAACTAGTTATACAGGATGATTTTTTAGTCATCGTCCAAATTTTTTCCAGCCGCTAGGTATCATTCAAAGACTCCATTTTCAAAAAAAAATTGATAGGTCTATTTTCAAAATGAAAATATTTATTCCGAAGTAATACTCGACAAAAATTGGTTACCAATTTACACTATTATTATTTACTACGACTATGCGTCTATGAATGAATGCCATACGCTAACCACGCGGATTCGCCAATCAAAGCAAAATGCCGCCACAGCCGCCGCCCGCGCCGAACGCTATTGGCGGCTGTCACTTCAGTCGTCACACGTCCGTGTAGCACTTTGTGCGTGTGTGCAACGCTATCTCGCTATTGAAAACGCATTCACGTGTCACTATGTATACAAACCGCGAGTACTTTGAAATGGTCAAGTGCTATTTTATAAGTGATGAAAGCCTAAACGGAGCCCAGAGACTATACGAGTCAGAGAGCATTCCTCGCCTTCGCAATTATGGAATAGCAAGTCCTACAGTCCCCAACCGCCAAACGTTTCTGCATGTCATACAGACGCTTTTAGACCATGGCCAGTTTACGACGCCTTCACACGCCCAAGGACGTGGTAGGCCGCGACTGTCCGTGGAAATCGAAAACGAAATCTTCGATTTTTTCGAGAGAGATCCCAGACGAAGTACACTGATGCAGCTCGACGGTTCAACGTTAGCCAATACGCTGTGTGGAAGCTGCTCAACACCTCTGGATTGCACCCTTATCACTTTCAAAAAGTGCAAACGGTAAATGAAGCAGACGCGCTGCCTCGTCGAGTTTTCTGCGAGTGGCTGATCGCACACCCCGATGCGTGCATTTTATGGACTGGTGAAGCCCTATTCACACGTGTGGGGCTGTACAACCAACATAATGAACATTGGTGGTCGTATCGCAACCCGCACATGATAACAGACAATTATCACCAAGTGCGTTTTAGTGCAAATGTGTGGGCCGGGATTGTCGGTGATAAAATTCTAGGGCCGTATTTTATTGCACCGGAGGCACCTATCTCAATATGCTACAAAGCATAGTCTCTGATTTGATGGCCGACGTACCCCTAGCCCTCATTAACCATCCATCCATTTTTATTATCAGCATGACGGTGCACCGCCACATTACGCTATCGACGTGAGGAATTATTTAAATATGGAATACGGGAATCGCTGGATCGGCCGAGGGGGTCCCGTTCCATGGCCACCCAGGTCACCAGACCTCACACCCTGTGACTTTTTTTGTGCGGCGAAATTAAACGCCGCGTGTATGTGGAGGAGGCCCAAAGCCTCAACGAATTGAAACTAAAAATTGAAAGTGCATTTGCACAAGTGAAAAGTGACACTACAGTGCTGAACAAAATACAAGACAATATTCAAAAACGTGCAAGAATCTGCTTGGAGAGGAATGGTTTACATTTTGAGCAATTATTAAAATACTGTTAAAGTTGTTACGCTAAGGTAATTTTTATTTTATTTTAATTAAATGTACATAAGTTGATTCAATTTTTTTAAATACGCCTTATTGCAAAAGGCATGGCCTGCTTTTATTTTTATACTTCTGTGTACGATACGAGTGCGGACTACATTTGTCGTAAATCGATGTTTTGTTTTTTATTGATATTATTATAAAATGTTTCTAGTTCACTAATAAAAAACACCACGTGCGTAGATAACAAAAGGGCGATGGGAAGATTCTTTTTTTTTATTACTTGCTAAATACTAATTCGTTACAATTCATCGTAGGAAGTGAACCTTTTATTGGTTTGTCTCACAAACAAAAGTAAAGATTATTTTCTTTTGTTCTCTCTACACATGGTAAAATTTTTAGTGACTTTGAAATTCAATAAGTAAATTCTTCGATGGCCTTCGTAAGACAACGCTTTAAATGCGTAGAAGTTAAGTTCGGGAAACGAACTTTCCTAATTAGGTGTGTTTATCAGGTGCATTCTTTTTATCATTATTTTGTAATAATATCATTAAATTTTGTCAAACCTCTAAAACAATTTACTTATAAATAACTTCCGCTCTCGTTTTCGTGCGTAAATGTAACAAAATCTTGACTTGAATTCGAATTAATTGTCTACATTCAAAAATAACATCACAAAAGCCTTTTGTAACTTGACGGTCCTAAGCCCGTGAAAGTATGAAGGGAAAATTTGCAACTTATGTATTTTATCAATGACGCGGGGGGTGGCCTAGCGCGCATATCGAGTAGGCTGTCCACACGCGCGCAATTTTTTATTACAATTATATACAATTATTTATTGATTTACACTAAAAGGAAAATTTGCGCATGTTATATTATATATGAAAGTTTGGACGATGACTAAAAAATTCATCCTGTATAGGACCTTATTTATTTAATACGGTTTTGGCCTAGAGCGGAAACTATGTGTAACTTAAGAATATAAAAGTTTATTTAATAGTTTTTATTTGAGTGTTAATGAATTTTTATTTAAATATCAGTCTTTTTTGAAAAAAATAAAGTGGTTGCCGAAATAACAGTCCATCGACGTTGAGCTAAGATACAATGTAATTTCATAATATTCGTACAGCACCACCAATAAATCTGTGTCTCAAAAAAGAAAGAACTAGCATCCTAACATCCTTACACTCTGAAAAACAACATACATATAAAGCACGCCACTCATTTTAATTATGTTGGTAGCTCTATCAGTTGTAGTGTTTGAATTCGAATCGACACTGGATAGGTATCGATAAACTCGATCTCTTGAGAGCATCTATGATATTGACTTTTTATTACTTTTAATGGATTTTACGGCTTTGGATACTTGGTAATAGGGGCCAATTTTTACACGCAGTCACGCTTCACACAGCTCTCTCTGTAAGAGATTTTTTATAGCCACTACGTTTAAAGTTTCGGACACCCAATGATCATAAATTCAATCGACATCATAACTTTTTTAGTTGTTATGGATGAAGTAACGTAAAACCTAATAGATTGAATTTTAGTTTTTCTTTATTTTTTTTATAATAGTTTTGTTAGACTATTTTAGATTATTACCATGCAGCCAAATCAGTAAAAAAAACAAACCGTTCATGTCTGTCCCCTAAAAACAAAATTTCTCTGATCATTACGCATATGACATACGTATGGAAAAAAGATCAATATGTCTCAATCGTAGAGGGAGAATTATTCTCCCTCTACGATCTCAATGCTGGGGGTTTACTCTTGATCTCCGTCCGAAACAATTACTGCCAAATAAGCAATACTTGACCAAATGAAAAGACGCGTGATGCGAATGAAGCTTCATACTGGATACTTGTCTTTTAATTTTGTCGAATATTACTTATTTGACAGTAATTGTTTCGGACGGATGTCAGACGAAGATCCAGACTAGCCCCCTTGATCATTGAAAGCTGTTTAAGTAAAAAAACAAATCGCAAAAAAAATAGCGCGCTTTTGAAGTTACGAGTACAGTTTTTATAAAGATTATGTTTATTAATTAAGATTATTTTAAGTATATTATGAAGAAACTACGAAGAAAGAAAGAGTAATGAAGAAAGTTACAACTGTAGTACTCATTTTAATCTAAACTATAAAGGATATTGTCATGAAAATTGTGAAAATTACATTAATTTACGAATTCAAAGTTTTTGTTCAAAGTGACATTAATATGATATTAAGTGAAAGTGAAAACATAAATATAACTCCCACCGCTTAAAAGACAATTTAGAAAACCCAGACAAGAGAACTAAGTTATTTATGAGAAAGTAAAATCATAATGTCTTGTACTAGAACTACAATGGAAAATATTTATTGAGGATCCCGATAATTAAACGAAGACATGGCTCGAAGGACTTATGTCCAAGCCAAAATTCTGAATAAAAAGGTTATAAAAAAAAAGCAATCTTGTTTTGATTGACTTGTAGATGCTTGTAGTATTATAATGTAGTCTGTGGTATTATATGTAGTCTGTGGTATTATATGTAGTGTTCTGTGGTTAGGTTACAATGTACATTTCATATATCTTACAGTAGACTTTTAAAAATTATCCATTATTACTTTTTAAACTTCATATCCTTAGCCCTTTGCTCGTTATGGCAAATGTTCTTAAACCAGATGTAATGTGGGTACAAGGAAGATGTTACAGAGTGAACGATTCTTCAACCGAAGCTACCGATTACCAGGAGCACGATTTATACGAAGATGGTAAATCCGTTGTTTATCGGGGGCCGACTGAAATATCTGTGGACATGTCACAAAAATTACTCTAAAAACATTGATACGGTCAGCATAAAAATATGCTAGATTCGTACTGTAAAACGTTTTTGTTATTTTGATTACTTTGATAAGTCGAGGTCCATAAATATTACAGTTGGGGTATAATTCAGATACTTAGAAACTATTTTGTACATAGTATTGCCAATCCCAATGGTTAACTCCTTGATATTAGAAATATTTTCCGATATTTAACATTTTTATCGAGTTCTTAGGTTTTCGCGATTGTTACACATAGGAAATGAAACTATTTTTCCGGATTTAAATCGCGTATATTTGTTTTTTCAAACAAACCGACGTGTCGGGCCCTTTACAGGTCCCATGGTCCTGTGCCCATGGGACCTGTAAAGGGCCCGAAACGGGACTGAGGTGGTACAGTCTTCAACCAGTTATGTCTAATATTAATGCAAACCACCCTATTTATTCACTATAGTTACAATAGTTATTAATTAAATACCTTATTTTTAATTGTACAAAGAATTTATTATTAATTATTAATAGAAATAAGAATAAACTAAAACATATTAATTAGTACTGCAGTCAGTAATTTTTGTTTAGGGAATAAAAAATCCAGTGAATCTAAAAAATAAATGAATTTAATCAATAACTTCTCAAGGCCCCATGTACATAAAATGTACTAACATAATATGTGAAGTAGTAGACCCAGACATTATTCCGATAATCACGTAAACGCCCAGTGTACATTATTAACTGCCTTCGTGACCAAACGTTTACCATGCTGGACTGCTATGTATGTATGTATGTATCGGTATATTCTTACATAAACTTAATTTGCTATTGACCTATCTTACCGAAAAATTCAAAAAGGCAAACATTGTAATATGTGGAGATTGGAACATCGATGTCTTGAAACAAAATTTAGCAGCCAAAGATCTTATTAGTACCCTACAAAACTATAATTTTATCGCCCATATACTTGCTCCAACTATGACAAAACTCGTGCATTGACCAAATAGCTAGCAACATCAAAACAGCAAATGCTGAAATTCATCAACTAGTTCTTTCAGATCATAAAACTGCACAAACTTTAAATGTAAAAATAAAGAGACAAAAAGCCTATAACATGTGGCATGAATACAAACGCGACTATAACCCGGAAAACATTAAAATGTTTTGTAACTCCATAGGCTCTCTTTCGTTTTTTGAAGTTCTAGATTCAGATATTATGGAGACTGCGTTTGATGGTTTCTACGATTTATTTTCTTTATTGTATAATTTATGCTTTCCAATCCTATTAGTTAAAGTAACTAACCATCTCACAAAGTTGCGAAGGCTCACTAAAGGTTTAAAGAAGTCATGTAAAGCCAAAAGAATATTACAAATGAAATATATAAATGAGAAAGTAAATAAATTACACAATAAACAACATTATAAAAGTTACAATACACTGCTTAAAAAATGCATATTGAAGTCCAAACGAATCAGTAATACTAAATACATAAAAAGCAACACCAACAAATGTAGAGCGACATGAAACACCATATCACAGACTCTCTCGAATGATTCTCATAAGGATGACATTAATTCGCTACAATTCAATAACCGTATATCACAATCCTGTTGACATTTGTAATATTTTGAATACTAATTTTTTAAATTTAAATAATAATTCTAATTTGACTCAAATTTGCATGACATCGAACATACAATCTATATTTAATTCAATATTTTTGACCCCAGTGACTGAATAAGAAATTTACAATATAATAATATCATAAAAAAATAGTAAATCTTGTGGTTATGATGGAATAAATACAAAAATTATAAAACTTTGTGCTCCACACATTTGTTGTCCTCTTGCACATATTATTAATCTTTCATTCGCAGAAGGAACGTTTCCCAAACAATTGAAACAGTGTATCGTTAAACCATTATATAAAAAAGGTGACACTTCAGATCCTAACAATTACAGACCTATCACTCTGATACCTATTATATCGAAAATATTTGAGAAAGCTTTCTTAATAAGACTTAACAGCTTTATAGAAAAGAATAACATTCTCCATCCCTCTCAGTATGGATTTTGTAAAGGAAGATCCACAACATTTGCTTGCTATGACTTTTTAACCATTATAACGAAAAGTATCAATGACAAAATTCCGGTAGCATCACTTTTCCTCGATATGAGCAAAGCATTTGACTATATTAATCATTCTAAACTTCTGAAAAAACTAGAAAAATATGGAATCAGAGGCACAGCATTTGACTGGATAAAGAATTACTTGAAAGATAGGACACAAAGTACGACAATAAATAAAATTTGTAACAATTACAAGCGTCTTATAAAACAAAAGTTTTATTCTGATTATAAAACAAAAAACAGCGGCATTCCACAAGGAAGTATTTTAGCTCCGGTTCTCTTCAGTCTGTATATAAATGATCTTCCAAACGCAGTAGATCAGGAAAGCATTCTGTTTGCAGACGATACCACTCTTATATTAAAATGTTATGATAGAGACCACTTTGAAAAAGAAATAAATGACGCACTATATAAAGTTATCAAATGGTTAAATGCAAATGACTTACATATAAATATTAGCAAAACAAAATTCATGCAGTTCAGATCGCATAATTGTAATCCATTGCCAATTCAAGTGCAGTATAACAATCAAGTAGTAGATACAGTCGACTGTTTTAGTTTCCTTGGAGTGAAATTTGACATACGTTTAAAGTGGAAACATCACATTGATCACGTGTGCAACAACCTGAATAGATTTGTCTTTGCCCTACGTAGGCTAAGACAAACCGTGTCTCATGACGCTGCAATGATGGCTTATCACGGGTACGTCTCCTCTGTATTAAGTTATGGGCTTATACTGTGGGGGAACTCCGTAGATGTAGGTAGGGTTTTTATAATGACAGATGACACATGCAAGCCCCTATTTAAAAAACTAAACATCTTACCTCTCCCCTGTATGTATATCAGAGACATCTGTGTGTTTGTTAAGACTAATCCTAAACATTTTAAAATACGTGGCGAAATATTTCAAAGACAAACACGACCTAAAATTATGAATCAATTATATCAACCTCGTTGCCATAAAATAATTTACACAAATAACTGCTACAACATGTGCATTAAGATTTTTAATAATTTACCAAGTGACATTAAATTACTACACGGACATAATTTTAAACTACAATTGACAAGATGGCTTATGACACATTGCTTCTATAGTAATAAGGAATACTTTGAATTTAGAAATATTTGACATTTTAATTAACTTCAATTACCTGTACCAATAAATTCCAATATATTTGCACACCTGCTTGCAGGTTGAATACATTGTACCAATTTAATTTAAGACCTGTATATTTACTGTATTTTAGCAAATAAACATTAATCTAATCTAATCTATGTGGAGGTCCCAGGTTTGATTTCCGGGACGGGAGAAATATTTGTGCGGCCTACATTTATTTCTCTTGTAAGTTTGGGTGTAATTTGTAGTTGCCTATGTGTGTGTCCATGACACCCACGACACAGGGTTTCCATAGTGCGGGGCTATTGAGTTGTGCGTTATTATTATTATAATCAGCGTTGCCAATGCCAATTGTTCAAAATTCCCCATAATCACAGTTAAAATCCCCAAATTTGGGGAGAGCAAATGTCATATTCCCCACAAATTCCTAACGTCTCGAGTTTTCATTGTTTATTACAAATACATCGCTGAAAAATATAATAAAGAATTAAGAAACTCAAAATGTAACCAGGGGACTGGCCTAAGTGGGAGAAAAGATTGCGAATACAACATGCACTGACATGTAATTTTACAATTCAGAACCAAGTGCTCGGACAATAATTCTATTTAAGCTACTTGCTCATAATGCAAGGAATGTGCGATGTTGAAAAACATATCGATATAGTTCATCACAGTGTTTCTAACAGTAACTATCAAACTAGCAATGCATCAGCAATCGATAGATTAAACAAAATGATAAAATATCAGAAACACTGTGACACCTACATTTTTTCCACGTAGCGCCAATCCCCACAAAATCCCCAATCAATAAAACCGAGTTGAAATTCCCCGCAATTTGGGGAATCCCTACAAATTGGCTAAGCTGATTATGATGAACAGATTATATTTTAGGAAATGAAACTATTTTTCCGTATTTAAATCGCATATATTTGTTTTTTCAAACAAACCGACCGATAAAAATTCATTCAATAAAATAATTTGTAGAAGTTAATGTAGCGTAAATTGGAATGTTTTCTTTGTAAAATTAAAAATAAGGTATTTAATTATTAACTATTGTAACTATAGTGAAAAAATAGGGTGGTTTGCATTAATATTAGACATAACTGGTTGAAGACTGTACCACCTCAGTCGACCGTGACCATGGGACATGTAAAGGGCCCGAAACGTCGGTTTGTTTGAAAAAACAAATATACGCGATTTAAATCCGGAAAAATAGTTTCATTTCCTATGTGTAACGATCGCGAAAACCTAAGAACTCGATAGATTATATTTTGGTACGAATATTGAATTCCCTAAAGCCGCCATATTTCTGTATGCTCGAATTTGATTAGTGGATAAGAGCAAACTTTGATCGCATGACATCCGTCAATTAATCGAAGATTAAAAGAAAAAGGGCGGGAAACTCGAAAGAAAAAGGCGCATTTTTTAAAATATTATTTTCTAAAAATTATAAAATAATAGTTTGGGTAGTGAATTCCCCCATTATATATACGTGTGATCGGCCAATATGCCGAAATCTAAAAAAATACTAAGTAACACTTAATTGCAGATGTCTTAAAATGGTGCTTAATACTTTTAATTATTTATGGTTAAATAATTTTATTCCATCAGACTGAAAGAAAGATTGTTTAGTTCCTGTTTTAAAACATGGCAAAATTGAACATGAGCCTGACTCTTATCGTCCCATAGCCCTAACCTCTTGTATAGGTAAAATCTTTGAACAGCTGTTAAAACAACGTTTAGATTTTTTTGTAGAGGGGAATGGTATACTACCTAATAATCAATTCAGCTTTCGAAGAGGCAGATCAGCACAGGAGAGTATAAGTCATCTTCAGCTAGACATTCACAATGCTGTCTCTTGTAAAAGAAAACTTGTATGTATCTTCTTTGACATAGTTGGTGCATTTAACAATGTAAATTGATATACTTTCAAATGAATTGATTTCCATTGGTTTGCCTGGAAAATTAATTAATTGGATATACACTTTTCTTATTAGCAGGGAAGTTTATGTCAAATACAATGTTGAGTGTGTGCGTTATTATTATTATTATTATTATTATTACAATAATGGTCTTATTGGCCCAAGATTGTCAATTTTGAACCTAAACATGCATAGTTATTTTTAATTTAGCAAAATAAAATATGTGTACATTTTACTGAGTGGAAAATAATGTATTGTTAGAAATCTATACCAGAAATCATAAAAACGACTAAAAATTAAGAATAATTTCAATGAAATAAAAATCGGTTACAAAATCTAATGTTAAAATTTTGAAAAGCACGGGACGTTATACAAATCAACGAGAGGTAAACGCGTCGAGAGCACACTCAAAAATGAACTGGCACACTATATCCGAGCGAGAGCCACCGTTACCAATGAGCGCCAACCGACAAAATGAGCTCTCGGCCACGTGGCGCTGCTTTTATATCCTCTGTCGCCGGGGGGTATTTCCTAAGGGGTGGTTATCCTCTAAGAGTATATACAGTGGTGGTCACATAATTAAAGACACCCTTGATGTTGACCACATACAACAAATTAAATGATATTTAGAGACCCAAGATAGGTATCAATTCCATTTTAATAGTCATTTTACATACACTGACATCATATATTTTTTAAAATGAGAACAGTATCAAAGTTTAACTAAAAAGAGTTTACATAGTTCCTGTTTCAAATATCATTCAAACTTTTTCGATACATTAGCTGCTGGCCATCTAATTAAAGACAGTGCGTATTTCGTGTTCTAAACTTGAAATAAAAAATAAAAAAGAGCACTGATTTTTTCTAATATTGAGCGAATTTTCGTGATACGCAAAATCTCACTCAGTTTTAGCCGTGCTCTAAGTTTATTGTGAAATTTAAATTGAAATATTATTTAAGTGACATAGCCAATCTTTTTAGACAACATTTCAGGGTTGAGTCACCACTGGGTGAGGGATTGGGTAAGCAGATGGTCAATGCTGAGAGCAAAGTGTATAACGACCCCTTGGTTAAAGTTACTGTTAAGGAGATTTCTAACGTTATCAGAAAAATGACCAGGGGGAAGTCACCAGGTCACGATGGGCTCAGCATTGAACATCTGCAACATGCCGGAGTCCACCTTCCCAGGGTTCTGTCAATGCTGTTCACGTTTTGCATTCGACACAAATATCTGCCTCCAGATCTTATGAGGACAGTTGTTGTACCAATCATAAAGAATAAGACCGGTGATGCTTCGGACAAGAGTAATTACAGGCCAATATCTCTAGATTCCACAATGGCTAAAGTGCTGGACAGTGTACTTAACAGTTATTTAAATCAACACGTGAAGCTGCATGACGCTCAGTTCGGCTTTCGTCCTGGGCTGTCTACGGAGACAGCTATACTGTGCCTTAAGCACACTGTCCGGTATTATACCGATAGGAAGACGCCTGTGTTTGCATGCTTTCTTGATATGTCGAAAGCTTTTGATATGATATCATATAATGTACTCTGGAATAAAATGTACAACTCGAGTATACCTAAAGAATTAACTGACTTGTTTCGATACTGGTATGATTGTCAAATAAATTCTGTTAGATGGGCAGGGACATCCTCTGACGATTATAAAATGGAATGTGGCTTAAGACAGGGTGGGCTGACCTCACCAACCTTATTTAATTTTTATGTAAATGGATTGATTGAGGAGCTCGGAAGCACTGGTGTTGGTTGCTCAATTGGAGGTTGTTTTGTAAATAACATAAGTTATGCGGACGACATGGTGCTTTTGAGCCCCTCAATCAGTGGGCTCAAAGTCCTATTAAATGTGTGTGAGAGATATGCAGTGGCCCATGGGCTCAGATATAATGATAAAAAGAGTGTGCTGTTGGTTTTCAAATCAGGTACCAAAACATATTCAACTCCACCAGTCACTCTTAACGGTATTGAAATCCAAAAAGTGAACAGTTTCAAGTATCTGGGCCACTGGGTCACTGAAAATGGAACTGATGACGTTGATCTGGAGAGGGAACGCAGGGCACTGTCGGTAAGGTGTAATATGCTGGCCCGCAGGTTTGTACAATGCTCACAAGAGGTAAAAGTCACCCTCTTCAAAACTTGCTGCCAGACCTTATACACGTGCAACCTGTGGAGCAATTTTACTAAAAAAGCCTACAGTGCCTTGCGTATCCAGTTCAACAATGCCCTCAGGGGACTGCTGGGGCTGCCCCGATATTGTAGCGCGTCGGGGATGTTTGCCGCAACTAGAATTGATAGCTTTGAAGCTGTCATTCGAAAGCGAGCAGCATCCCTGATGGTCAGAGTGCGGGGCAGCACCAACAGTCTTCTGATGGTGATTGCGGAGAGGATGGACAGTCCAATTTTAAAACATTGGATGTCCATTCACATCCAAAAAAATGAAAATTTTAAGTTTTACTAACATAGTGTCTAAGTATTTACTAACAATATATGGACTTGTAATCATTGTAAGTCTGATAATAAATAAAAAAAAAAAAAAAAAAAAAAAATTATGGGAAAAAGCAAAAGTTGCGATCCTTCCACAAGGAAGATAATTCTGATTTTTTATGAAAAAGGGTGGTCGTATAGGAAAATTGCAGAACACTTGCGATGCTCGAAAGATATGGTAATGAACGCTATCCGGCATTTTAAGAAATTTAACACTACGGAAAATGTGCCTAGGAAACCTAGACCGCGAAAAACAACCCAGCGAGAAGACACAAGAATAGAATTGTTGGCTAAAAAAGACCCTTTCAAAGGATCAGAAGTCATTCGCTTGGAAGTATTTGGTGCAGAGGAATCTAGAGGAGTGTCTGCAAGAACGGTGAGAAGGCGATTATGTGAGGCAAACTTGTTTGGAAGAATTTCTCTGAAGGTACCCCTTTTGAAGAAAGAAAACATCAAAACCAGATTGCTGTTTGCCAAAAAATATGCACATTGGACAGAGCGACAGTGGAAAAATGTGCTTTTTTCTGACGAAACTAAAATAAATATGGTTAACTCTGATGGAAAAGTTTACGTGAGGCGTCCTTCAAAAAAAGAAATGGATCCAAAATACACAAAAAAAACTGTTAAACATGGAGGGGGTAATATCAAAGTTTGGGGATGTTTTTCTGGTCACGGTGTGGGACCTATTAAAAAAATAGAAGGTAACATGGATAAATTTCAATATAAAAATATTTTAGAAAACACCATGTTACCTTATGCCGAGGATCATTTGCCGGTGATATGGACTTTTCAACATGATAATGATCCCAAACACACTTCAGCAGTGGTCAAAGAATTTCTTAGAAGCCAATCAGTAACAGTTTTGGATTGGCCACCGTATAGTCCTGACATTAACCCGATCGAAAACTTGTGGTCCCGTGTGAAGAAAATGGTTGCAAAAAAACGTACAAGTAACGTGCATCAACTATACACGGCATTTAAAGAGGCATGGGAACAGATTTCGCTTGAAACTTGCAATAATTTGATTGCTTCTATGCCGAGGCGGTGTCGGGCCGTCATTACTGCTAAAGGACATGCGACAAAATATTAACAACGTGCTTTTATTTTCTTATTATACATCTGAAACTAATTTTATACTCAAATTCGTTTTAACATTTGTAATATTTTTTTTGCAGTTACATGATTTGTGTGTCTTTAATTAGTTGGCCAAGCTTTTGTATTAGTTTATAACGGTGTAATTAAAGAAACTTAATAAAAATTTAAAATACGACATCTTCGTTCTCTTTATTTCATTTCAAACATTTTACGATACCCGTTAGAATAATTTAAATAATATTGCAAGCTCCTATTGCATTATAATAAAAAAATATAGGATAAGTAAACTTTGAAAAAATAATATTATGTGTCCACCACTGTATATTTTATAATCGTATTACTTAGAGACGCCGAAAGTGAAGATTGTCTTAATAATGTGGCAAACTAGGGGATGAATCCGGTTTTTCGGTAACCGATTTCAATAAAACTTGGCAAATAGATGTAATTCCACGACCTTTTGAGGTCGGTTTTTTTAGTACTCTATACCGAGATTATTTAATTAAAAAGAATATCAAGAATACAGACTATCATATATACATTTATTTTTATTCCCTATCCCATTTCAGTAACGCTCACTGTACATTTAAATGAACTAAACATATCGCATTCAAATTTAGCGCAATGTATTCTACATGACCATAGAGTATCTAGAAAAATACTTAAAAACAATTCTCATTGGCGATTTTCATACAAAATTGAGGTTATACTTCCGTGCGCCTGAAGCATATAATTATACTTGCACATTTTAATGTACATTGGGCGTTTAGCGCTTCTCCCATTTTATTTTGCTGGGCCATAGGAGGTTATAACAATGAGATAATGAGGTGTCAGTTTTTTACGATAATGCCTTAGCTCCTGTCCAAATTTGGTTATTTAAAAAAAATATTTTTTTAATTGTTGGCCACACACTATTCATAATCTTAATCAAGAGTTTGCATTAAATACAAAAAAGATGTTATTTGGCGAAGCTGCCTTCATCTTTTTGACTTTGTAAACTTTTTGAGTCGTTTTCAAATTTGGGGCCAAAAAGTAGCAATTTCATAAATAAACTTTCTTAAATTTTCCATTTTTTTTGTATTTAGGTATGTTCAGAATAAAAAATACTTCATCACAATCAAGTTAATCACTCATTTATTCCAATAATACGCAATAATCAACAATTTTAGTGACACAAATGAGATACTGTTGAGATACTTGGTGACACTAATGATAATATGATTTTAGGAAACAATTATGACAGTTATTTGAAATAAATGTAGTTCAAATGTCAATATAATATTGTAGATTTAACATAATCATCGATCATCAATATTTTAATTATTTTTTGACAATTAAAAATATTAATAATGAAATTAAGAGAAACAAAACAATATTAATCTGACATAGAATGATTCTCATCTCATCGTTGGACTTTCTAATAAATTTAAGACATTCCTTGCCATGTCCCGATGCTTTATTGTAATCTCCTACAAAGGATTGATTTGTCCAGGAACGTCTAATAATGCGAAGTCTCGTAGTTTGTGAAGTCGAAGCTATAACTTGCTGATTTCCATAGATAATTGTAATATCGTTGAAAATTCGTATTTTTTTATTTTCGGGCACTATATTTACATTATGAATTGCAGATTCAGTTGGAGTTTTATACATTTTAAAAAAACGTAAATGTTTATCATGTACGCAAGTGAAATTTAAGCATTCAAAGCAGCTCCGTTTTTTGAATTCCAAATAAGTAGAGTCAGACGACCACACAACCTAAAAAATAAATATTTGAATTAAAACGTTTGAAAATCAAATCAAAATTAAACATAAAATAATTGGTAAAAGTATCACCCGATGAACTCCCATAGTGCTTTTGAAAGTAGCGATATCTTTGGGTAGCATCAGATCTTTTATTTTAATTTCGTCTTTCTCGACAATTTTAATTTCGACATTTTTATTTTGTTTTAAAAATCCATATGAATCAACGATTCGTTGCTATTCAGCGATTCTTTTAAATGTTTTATTGTAACATACTGGTTAACAATGTTACTTGTGTGTGATAAAAATTTAGGCAATACATTCTCCAGTTTTATTATCAAGTTACGTGGGTCTGACGTTTTAGGCTTATTCTTTATTATTTTTATTTCTTTGGTATCTACTATCTTTGTATCTCTTTTTCATTCCATGTAATGTATCTCTTGATCATTTCTGATCATCTTGTCTTTACAATTATCGCATTTGCGGTTAAGACAATCTACTTTATATTTATCACAACAGACTTGCATTATCAAATTCTGGCTGTCTTTTACATCAATAATGTTATTTTTATTTAGTACTGATATTAATAAGTTAAAATTTGTGGGCAATGTACAAGCACATGTATCACGATCATCAACTGGAAGAGAAACCCAAAAGGGCCTGAGCCTTGTAAATGTGGTGTAACTGATTTTAATGTTGGTGTTTTCTGCTAAAAATTTCTTATGTAAATTTTTCATTGAATCTAAAAGATATCGTATTCGTTTGAATTTCCATTTTTTTCTTATATTGTTTCTTGCCGGGAGTAATGCGACTATTTATATTGTCTTCATAAACATTGTCTATCAAATTTAGGACACTTATTTTGTGTTTTTTTCGTAAGCCGTTGTTTTTACGAAGATGTGTAGAAACTTTAGAATGTTTGAATTTCTTTCTATCAATTAAATTTGTAATTGCACGTTTTTCTATAAACTTGTAGTTTATAGAAAACTTTTGTGTTATTTGTTCACTTAAAAGCTTATCAAATAATTGTTTTTGTCTTTTTCGTTATTCTCGGTATTTTCAATCTTATCGCTTGTTTGTCTAGATAGTTTAAATACTTATCTCTGTAAAACTTCAATTTTGGCTTTGTATCTGTTTAGCAATAGCATAAAACTTTGTTTTGTTTCCTATGTTACATTTTTAATTAATTAATAGTTGTAATAATTCCATGCCACTTGGATTGGTCTTCTTTTCTTGTTCTGCTACATTTAACGGATCTATACTGAGGTTGACTTGTACATCTTCGTTATCTACTTCTCTAACCGTAAGAGTTTTTATGATTTTTTGGCTTACTTTCTTTTTATAATACTTTTTAGCCATCTCCTTCAATTTTCTTCTTTGAATCCATTGTTCCCGTGGACTCATTTCGTTAATGCTTTTAATTTTTTTACTTTCCTTTTCAAGTAGTTTTGTCTCTTTTTTCCCTGTTCAACGGCAAAAAGTTCAGGTTTATTTTTAATTCTTTTATATTTCTCCCTTCTCTACGACTATTCTTCGTTTTTCCAACTCTTCCTCGCTCTTTTGTTTCTTCGGTTTAGTCATTGTCTATAATCAATGTTTTCCCTAAAAAGTAAAAAAAAAACATAATTCCATAATTTTTATCATTTGTACACCGTTTCATATCATTTGTGTGACTTGTGAAACGACACGAATGAGCGGGAACGCATGAGATTTTTTAAATTTACCAGGCAAACAACTTTATTAATATTGAAATCGAAATACGCACTTGAACTTTATCTAATCTTTGATTTGATTTGAAATAATTAAACACAATATGTCGCGAAATGTAAATATGTAATTTTTGTCAAAATTTCTAAATATTGCCTGCTATTCGTTTTTTTATTCTTAAAGTAGCGACGTACACGACTGCTCACTAAGCTCGTTCGGGGCCAATTGAGCACAAAAGAATCACGCGGGAAAGGAGCGCGGTAAACAGGGGTATCTAGCACGTTTATTGCGCATTTGATGACGGCGACACATATGAAAATTCAAATACGAACTTTTTTGAAAATCTTCAAAATAGTTATTTTTTGTTTTTAAAAATTTCTCAATATCCAATTCATTTTCTCTTAGAGTTTATTATACATTAAATGCATTGACTTCATTGACTTACAATTATATGGACGTCGGGTCCGCGCTAAAAAGTGTCCGCACTTGTAAGGCGCTAAAATCGTATACAGAGCG